CTCCCCTAAAACAGAGCTATGTAACCAGGCGTAACATACAATTACATTAACTTCTTTGACAGCAAAATAATAAGTTAAATGAATACCGAGTTTATGGCCAGCAAAACCTCCAGATTTTTTTCTACCCAAAGGTATAATCCTAGAGCAGTAACAATATGACAGTCTTTTCACTGAGATGAAATTCACAGAACATTAAACTATTTTAAAGTGGACATTCAGTGGCATTTCTCATATTCACAAAGTTGGGCAACCTGCCACCTCTAGTTCCAAGACTTTTCATCACCCCAAAATAAAGCCTTAGACTCATTAAACAATTACTTTCTATTCCCTTCTTGCCCTGCAATCTCTCTTCTCTTTATTAGCTTACCTATTCTGGATATTTTATATAAATGTAATCATAAAATGTAAATTTTGTGTCGGACTTCTTTTAGCATAATGTTTTGGAGGTCCATCCACATTATAGCATGTATCAGCACTCTATTCCTTTTTATGGCTGAATAATATTCCATTGTATTTACATACCACAGTTTATCTGTTCATCAATCATGGAACATGTGTGCTATTTCCATCATTTGGTGATGGTGAATAACACTGCTATGAACATTAGCTTTTTTCCACTTTTTTAATTATGGCAAAAAAATACATAATAATGGTGAATTTTCATAGTTCAGTACATTACATATATTCACAGTGTTGTACAACCATCACTACTATCCATCTCTAAAACTTTTTATCTTCCCTAACAAATGTTGTGCCCATTAAACCCTAAACTCCACCGGGCACGGTGGCTCACACCTGTAATCCAGCACTTTGGGAGGCTGAGGCAGGCAGATCACTTGAGGTCAGGAGTTTTAGACAAGCCTGGCCAACATGGTGAAACTACATCTCTACTACAAATGCAAAAATTAGCCGGACATGGTGGCACATGCCTATAATCCCAGCTACTCGGGAGGCTGAGACAGGGGAATCACTTAAACCCGGGAAGTGGAGGTTGCAGTGAGCTGAGCACACAGTAAGTTTGTCAAATAGGTCAAAGTTGTCTGCAGCTCCACTTAGCCGAGAATCCAGTCATACCACTGCACTCCAGCCTGGGCAACAGAGCAAGACTCCGTCTCAAAAAAGAAAAAAAACACTAACCTCCCATTTCCTTTCTCCCACCAGCTCCTGGTACCTGCCATTTTACTTTCTCTGTAAATCTGAGTGGTTTAGGTACCTCATATAAGTGGAATCATATTAATACAATAGTCGTCCTTCTGTGCCTGGCTTATTTCATTCCACATCATATTTTCAAGACGAACATCAAATATGTTTTGTAAAAAGTACACATTTTATATGCAACATTTATTAAAGTTTAACAATGAGATCAAACGGCAAAGACATCATCAAAAACATGTAGGAAACAAGCACCTTTTGCGGGCATCAGTTCATTCAATCCTCACAGCTGCTCTGTGAGATGGGCTTTACAGATGAAAGGATAGAGCCCAGAGAAGATAAGTGACTTACCCAGAGACATGCAGCTTGTAAACCAACAAGCAAACATGCATATTCAGATCTTCTAATTTCCGTCCTTTTTAATTTACAGATCAGCTGCCTCCCATCCTATCTATAAAGATGATCAAAACAAAAAGATACCGATGTTGGACAGCAAGTCAGGGAAGGAGCTAGAACTTGATCAACTAGCTTTTGCAAGTGATAACGGAAGATAAACTAGCTTTTTCAAGTGCTGGGAAAGACGTGGTCCCTTTATATAATAGGAAAGGAGGGAAATGCTGGGTAGAGGAGGGCGTTGTCCCTGGCGAGGGCTCCACCCCCAGGCCTGTGTCCATGGACCTAGATCTCGACAGGCACTCCTGCCTTCAGCGCCCAAAAGTTCCATTTCCCAGGACCACCCTGGCCCACCATGCCCCCATCTTGTGCCTGTAAAAGTACCTGAGATTCTAGCAGGCAGACACACAGCTGCTGGAGGTGGAAGGGAACAGGTCTCCAGAAGACACAAGCAGCGGGACAGCGAGAGGACGCAGAGGGAAGCGCACCGGGGGAAGAGCAAGGACACACCCTGGCTTGCAGGCAAACCAGCGCTGGCGCTGGCGGAAGGAGGCGGAGCTGGCAGAATTGGCCGAGTTTGGCCTGGGCAATCAGAAGAGGGCCCGGGCCCTCCGGCGGTCCAACTCCAGGGGAAAACCATTTACCTTCTGGCTCCCCATCTGCTGAGAGCTACTCCCACCCAGTAAAACCTTGCACTCGTTCTCCAAGCCCAGGTGTGATTCGATTCTTCTGGTACACCAAGGCAAGAAGCCGGGGATACAGAAAGCCTATGCTGTAAGACAGGGGTCTAATAGAGCTATCACAAGCTGCCTATGGACGGCTAAACTAAAAGAGCGCACCATAGCACATGCCCTCTGGGGTTTCAGCTGTAAACATTCATCCCTAGACACTGCTGTGGGGTCGGAGCCCCACAGTCTGCCCATCTGTATTCTCCCCTAGAGGTCTGAGCGGTGGGACACTGAAGAAGCGAGTCACATCCCCATTGCACACCCTGCAAAGGGGACAAGGGAATGTTTCCCGTTTCACTAGAAAGGGCATCCCAGGCTGGTAACCATCTGTGACCTGGGTGCAGAGATGAGCTTGGTGGGGGCTGCACAGGGAAGAAAGCAGCAGGATGTGGATAGGAACTGTGAGTATCCTAATCTGATTTTAAAAGGCCTTCGAAGAATATTTTCTTTCATTCCAACCTATAATGGATTATCTTAAACAAGGACTTTTGTTCTTTTTTTTTTCCTGCCTCACGAGGGTATACAGATAAATAGAAATTTCAGCCAAATGCTACATATGCCCTGAGAGCTTCCTAGTTGGCATCTGCTGATTTATCTTTTCCCACTGCATCCTGGACTGAGGCAGGATGTGCAAGAGATGAGGTACTGCTTAACACACATTACAGCCAAAGTGCTTGACAAAGTACTAAAGTGAATTGATTCATCTATTTGATAGCCCATGCCAAAGACTATGCCCTTAAGATGGATTTCTGCAGACCAGAGAACTTCTTTATTGTCTCAGCTATTAATGCCAGCCTAATCACAATTTTCTAGAATTTCAGTTCTTTCTGAAAAGCATACATATCTTTATACTGCATTGCTTCTTTAAGAAGAAAATGTGATTTTGCTCATTGTTTTTGGCAACATTGGTAAAAGTATAAAAGCATTTAATTTAACAATGATTCCTATCAAAAGAAATAACTTTGGAAAAACTGTCCAGATTATTACAGAAACAAAAAGAAAAACTGAGAGCAGTGAAGAACAGGCATTTGCAATTTGTGGATACCAACCACCCGTAAGCAGAAGAATCATAATTTGGTTTTAATCAAAAGATTTGGTCTATTTGGGCCAGGTGCAATGGCTCATGCCCATAATCCCAAAACTTTGGGAGTCTGAGACAGGAGGATTGCTTGAGCCCAGGAGTTTGAGACCAGCCTGGGCAACAAAGGGAGATCCCATCTTTAGGAAAAAAAAAAAAATTTTTTTAATTAGCTGGCTGTGGTGGTGCACAGCGTTGGTGCCTGTGGTTCCAGCTACTCTGGAGGCTGAGGTGGGAGGATCACTAAAGCCCAAGAGGTCAAGGCAGCAGTGGCCCAAGATCTCACCACTGCACTCCAGCCTGAACAAGAGAGTAAGACCCTGTCTCTAAAAATAAAAATAAAAGAAGATTACAAGGCAATGGCTTCTTTGGCAGCTATGTATGTAAGTTGACAAAGACCAAAACAGTGCCAACGTATGAAGCACTGAAAAAGTTAAAATATTTTAGCTTCGACACCGGAAATATAGCAAGCTCACATATTTGAAGACCAAACACATCAAGGCTCATCTTTCCCTTAAAAGACTTTTTCAGCTGGGCACAGTGGCTCATGCCTGTAATCCCAGCACTTAGGCAGGCTGAAGTGGGTAGATCACTTTAGGCCAGGAGTTTGGGACCAGCCTGGCCAACAAGGTAAAACCCTGTCTCTGCTAAAAATACAAAAATTAGCTGAGTGTGGTGGCACATGCCTGTAGACCCAGCTACTCAGAAGACTGAGACAAGACTGGGTTGAACTCGGGAGGTGGAGGCTGCAGTGAGCCAAGACTGCACCACTCTGCACACCAACCTGGGCAACAGAGTGAGACTTTGTCTCAAAAAAAAAAAAAAAAAAAACAAAGAATTTTTATTTGTCAGATGTAGAATATAACAAGATAAATTTATGGCTGGGCACGGTGGCTCACGCCTGTAATCCCAGCACTTTGGGAGGCCAAGGCGGGTGAATCACGAGGTCAAGAGATTGAGACCATCCTGGTCAACATGGTGAGACCCCGTCTCTACTAAAAAAATACAAAAAATTAGCTGGGCATGGTGGCGCGTGCCTGTAATCCCAGCTACTAGGGAGGCTGAGGCAGGAGAACTGCCTGAACCCAGGAGGCGGAGGTTGCGGTGAGCCGAGATCGCGCCATTGCTCTCCAGCCTGGGTAACGAACGAAACTCCGTCTCAAAAAAAAAAAGATAAATTTATTAACATTTAAGGTCCTTGTATAGAAAACCAGAGGAAAATACTTTAGTACACATTTAATTTGCTATACTAAATGGTTTTTTTTTTAAATAAAGACATTCAAAAGGAAACTTTAGATTATAAATAGCATGGTACGTATAGAATATGAACACAGAAAGTTCATATGTAAGCCCTAAGCTGCTTATGATAAACACCTATAAAAGGAACAAAAACAAAACTTCCATATCATTTTACCCAGTAAAAGATGTAGGCTATAAGTAGAAAGTTGTTTAAGTAAAAAAAAAAAAAAAGATATTTATTAAAAAGAAATAATTTTAAAAATTGAAAAATAATAATAAAATAAAGATGTAGGCTACACAGCTGAGGCTATTATTATTCACACCATACAGAAATTAGGATCTTGGGCCAAGCAGAACTATAGCATCATCAGAAAGAATACCTAAAGAAATAAAGTATGACTTCCTAAATATTTTATTTTAAAATGCACAGTTTATTTATTTGCTTTGCCCAAGATAGCTGCATTCATTCATTACAGGGTCGGGGGAAGGTAAAAACAAATATCAAACAATTGTTACAAATCACAGAAAACAAACAGAAACTGGAAAATAAACACTGGTTACTAATTTGAGGTTTTAACCCATTACCTCAAGCACCCAAAAAAAGTAGACCTTTTAAAAATAAAGATTAAGGAGAGTTGGTGGAATTTAAGGGAAATGCCATCCCATAATGTTACCTAAACACTAAAAAGGAATCAGCAGAAGCAAAGAGAACAAAGCAGTACAGAACTTCGGTATTACAGCGCCACCCACTGGCTAGAAGTCCTCATAGCACATATGAGATGCAGCCATAAAATAGATGAATTATTGAAATAAGGAAGGTAACACTGATGATTCTGATTCAGTAGAGTATCAAAAATGTCTAACAAAACAGAACCAGACACGTTATTTTATTTCTACAAGTAAATAGAATATCTGTTAGATATGTTCACAAGGGTGAGTTTTATCAGTTTTGAAATCCAAGTCTATATATAGTCCCCAAATGCTATAAGGACTTACATTTTATAGCCAAAACCATTAACACATAAAATGCTATTTCATCTCCGCAGCTGAATACATAAATAGGGTATTTAAGTAAAAGATGCATACGTGAATGTCATTGCTAAAAAATAAATTATAATATTCATAATATAGTTAAATGCTGGTAAAACCTACAATGGCATCTGCCTCATTTCCACCTTTACTAGACAAGTAATGAAATACACTGAGCAAAGGATACGTCTGAAAAACGGTTTCTAAATAAACACAGACCACTCAGATAAACTAATAAAAATAAATTGTTTTTCTTTAAAATACAACAGCACCTTTGTCATCTAAAATATATTTACCTTAATATACCTCCTTTCTATCGTAGTGACATCTGATATGTTTTTCCAGATCACTATTTTCTTGAATATCAACATTCTTATAATCTTGGCATGAAATATTTGAGAGTTACTTCTCCTGAAGTACAATCTTCCCTTTAAGACCCAGAATTACACGTAAGGCATGATATTAAGTTATAGTCTATATGACCCTCTTGAGTGTTGAACAGCTGGACTTCAGAATTCCTCTTCAGACATGACCCTAGTCTTCCAAGTGAAGATTCACAAATATGCTCCAGGCAGTCAGCACAGGCTTCAAGTTTCTTTGGTTTGATGATAATTACCACCTGGCCTGCAAAAGCCAAGGTCTTTGCTTGCTCATAGATGGTTGATTGCAGACAAAAATACAATGAGAAAAGTAACATTCCCACAGATATAAATTGCCAATACTGCCTTTTTAAAAGCATGACCCTGAAAGAAAATTGAGATATGAGAAAAAAAGAGTATTACCGTTAAGGCTTGTGTCAATGAAGAAGAACAGGACTTACCTCTGCTTCCGCTGCAGTAAATGACTGAAGGATCTGAATTCTGTCATCATCCAACATTTCAACTGTCAAGAATAAGAATTTAAGTTTATAAGGACAGTATTATGCAGGTAAATAAAATAAAAATAATTAAAAAAAAAAACAAACCTGATTTGTACTGTTCACCAAAATTTCCAGGTAGAAATTCTCCATTCTAAGCTACTAATTATTGTGAACTTTCTGAACAATTAACCCTCTCACAAATAGGGACAATCTGGCAAGAGTACACCTTTGTTAAATAACTTAAAATATGCCTTCTTCTAGTCAATAAACTCTACCTCAAAGTCATAATGATCTAAGCTTTTTGGTTTTCTTAATTTTATTTTTTGATTGATAAAATACATATTTATGGTGTATAACATGATGCTTTGATATATGCATACATTATGAAATAGCTAAATCAAACTAATTAACATATGATAACTATCCAAGTTATAAGTATACATATATAAACAGAAGCCATCGGCCAGGCATGGTGGCTCACACCTGCAATCCCAGAACTCTGGAAGGAGGAGGTGGATGGATCACTTGAGCCCAGGAGTTTGAGATCAGCCTGGGCAACAAAGTGAAACCCCGTTTCTACAAAAAATTTAAAAACTTAGCCAGATGTACTGGCACATCCCTGTGATCCCAGCTACATGGGAGTCTGAAACAAGCGGATGGCTTAAGCCCTGGAGTTCAAGGCTGCAGTGAGCTATGATCACACCACTGCATTCCAGCCTGAGTGACGGAGTGAGACTCTGTCTCTGAAAACAAACAAAAATCAGTTAAGCCATAATTCAACAGTCATCAAAAGCCCCATGTATATAAGCCTATCAAGAATCAAAAGTAGCAGGACAGATATGTACTACTCAGCTCCTAAAGCCACCCTAGGCTCTCCTAAGTTCACAACATATATACTAGACAACAAAGAATTTTTGTTTTGAGAAGGCCACCTTCACTTATTTGGGGGGATGAAAACTAGGCAGGACACAAAGGACACTTAGCCTATAATCCAGGGTAGTTTAAAATGACACCCATTCCCTACTAATTTCTCCACTCCTAATGGTGGCTATAGGTATCGTGACCCTGCCTGGCACCAAAACAGACCTTGTCACTAAAGAGCAAAAGCAAAATCATTGCTTCCTATCTAGCTGGCTTGCTCCTAGCTCTATATATGCACATGGCAACCTAAGTGATAGTGCACATCCTCCATCTCAGGGTTCCCTCAGCTCTAGGCATTCAGAGTTCCCAGTCCATACTGGCTCTGGTCAGACCAGCAAAGTGAAAATACTTACAAGGAAGACTCCTTCCCTAAAACCTAAAACCTTTCCTTTGTATCTTACTCACAGCTTCTAATAGTTACAAATGTAACAAAACAAAGGGAGAAAACCTCTACAATTTCTACCACAGGCTGAGTAATCACCTGTGAGCTACCAATACAATAGCCATTACTTTCAGGAAACTCATTCTTTTCCAATAGTTTGTATAAAAGTGATTCTACATAACATGGTTTTTTAGAAGGTTACCTTTGCGAGAGAGCCGATAAGCATGTACCTCCAGAACAATCTCAGTCCCTACATGCCAGGCTACAAATCCAATCATTGCATAGGTTTTCTGTGAATCAGGAAGATTCAGTCCTGGTAAATCCATTCCCAGGAACATCGCTGCCACTACACAGGAGAAAAAAAGGTATATTCAAATGTAGTCCCATCAGGAGAGACAGTTGTGTGTTTGTGTATGTGTATTATCAAGTAAAACATACTAAAAGAGTTTGAAATGAATAAGATTAATATTTAAGATCAAATAGTTAATTTAGTCTTTTGAAAGAGAATTATAAGGCTAGATAGGGCAAGATGGGCAATTAATTATGAATTATCAATTTTTTGGGGGGTAGGGCATATTGCATAATAATGCTGGGGGGTTCGGGCTTCTAGTGAACCCATCACCCAAGTAGTGAACATTTTACCCAAAGAGTAGTGTTTCAACCCTTTCCCCCACTCCTCCCTCTCCTCCTTTGGAGTCCCCAGGGTCTACTGTTCCCATCTTTACGTCCATGTGTACTCATTGTTTAACTCCTGTTTATGAGTAAGAACATGTGGTATGTGGTTTTCTGTTTCTGCACTAATTCACATAGGGTAATCACTTCCAGCAGCATCCATGTTGCCACAAAAGACATGATTTCATTCTTTTTTATGGCTGCATAATCTACGAGTTGTTAAAAGAAATGCACCCACATTTTCCAGATTGTTTGAAGTCTGAAATGTATGAAAGGAGAAAAGTATAGAAACCATGGTTGATTGGGATCCCCTCCAACAAAGAATCCCATAGACTATGTTAGGGTATAGGGTGCCTACTTAGGCGTTTATTATACAAGGTATCAAAATATACTGCACAATCATTCTTGACTTTTGAAAAACACCCTACCCTGGAAGATACAAGCCCCGTGGAAAGGACCTGGAGATGGAGAGCTTGGACCCACCAACCCACCTCAACCCAATTCACAAATGACTCTCAATCAGAGCTACTCAAATGTCTGGCCATCAGCATAGCTTATTCTGCTGGCAAAGGCAAACGCTCAAATAAGTCTTAAAAGGAGAGTTTTAAAGTTATTTTAAAGACCTTAAACTTAAAACTGAAATAATGACTTAAATCATTACCTCTGGAAATTACTTTCTGAATTTCAATGTTTAAGGCTGATTTCTCCTCAACAACCAATTACTCCAATTACTAATGCATCTAAAAATCATTTAAGCCAAATTACAACTTGCAATATAAACAGCCAGCAATTATATATGAATAAGCAGCATCACAATATCTTACCTGCTATTATTCTAGCAGCTGTTCCCATACTCCAATGAGTCCAGTTAAACATTTGCCTTCTACCAAAATAAGGGAACCAGTCAGTATTCTTAAAAGCAATGGAACTATAATTAATTCCCAAGAGAATAAAAAGCATGTAATTTCCCTTATTGTCTGGGAATTAGATATCTGAAATGCATTTCAAAGTATTTCAAAGTAACTATAATTTATCACTGAATTTTATAAAATGCAAAATGTTTCCATTTGAAAAGGGATTAGTTTGCCAACTAATGATATCTACATTAAGAGAGCATTTATATAGAAAGGTTCTAAGTACCTTGGGTCATGCAAAGGTGGCCTGAAGACTGCCAGAAGAGGCTGAAGAACTGCCAAAGTCATCACAATACAGCCGAGGTATGGGTGGTAACCTGCATGCTAGACAAAGTTACATCACTTTCATGGCCTCAATCTCTCTCATCAGTTTAAATCCTCAAGTTAAAAAATATATGCACAGTTGTATTCTTAGTACTTTTCCATGGCTTGAAACATCCAATATTGATGATAATCATAGTAGACAACATTCACTGAGTATACACTTTGTACCGGGCACATACTTTAGACACACTAATTCTCACTACAATGTTTGACAACTGGTTATCAATATATCTCCGTTTTATAAATGGGGAAACTGAAACCCAGAGACATCAAGAACTCTGTCCAAGGCCACACAGTATGTAAGTGGTTGTGGTGGAATCCATGTACAGAATGCTACCTCTCCCCCATCAGGATAAGTTGGCACTAAAGTAGTTGCAGTTTTTTGCAAGCATTTTAATTCACAATTACTATTGCACCAACCTAATAAAATGGCCATCAACATCAGAACAGCCATCTGCAGCCCAGCTGGGGCTAGTTAGTGCCCCCATGTCAAAAGCAATCACCCCAACATATGGTAATAATTTGTTTAGCACTCTATGTTTCCCTGAACTGTGGGTTCTATATGACTCCCTGTAACCCTGAAGCTTAACAGAGTCTTAGTCACTCAATAAATGTTTGCTGATTCATTTATGAATCATAGTGAATAACCTATGTAGCCACTGTATTAAAAGCTTATCACCTCTATTCAAAATGAAGATCTAACCCAAGAATAAGCACTGACAGAGTATCACAATAGTTTCTGCTACATTCCTCCCTCAGTGATGTCATGTGCCTGCTCAGAACAGCAGACGGTTGGATTAGACCACTTTATACAACGATTTTTCATTTAAACACTTAAGAGAAGGGCTATGAAGACGCTCTAACCTATGACACATTTGGATAGAGGGATATTCCTGACTGTTGTCAGTGATGCCCAGGTTTGAGTAAGATATAAATCTGTGACCTAGAAACAGAGACATAGTGGTTTCTAAGCCATGGTAGGAAGTCCTTGTAAACAGGAACTAAAGACTAACAAAAAAACAATATGAAAACATTCTCAAACTACAGACTCAGTTATGCATGGGTAAAATTATAAACATGACTTTTGAGATATAAAGGGCCTCTAATAAAAAAATAAGATAAAACAGCAGCAGCAGCAACAAGAGCCTTACATGCGTTTAGAATGTGCTGGAAGCCATCCTAAGTATTTTCAGTTATTTTATTCCCAATCCTCACAGAAAGCCTACAAAACAGATACTATACCATCCCCATTTTACAGATGAGTAAACTGGTCATAGTTAAATAACTTGCCCAAGGCATCCCAGGTAATAAATCATGGTGCCAGGATTTGAATTCAGGAATCCAGTTTTAAAATAGTGCTCTTAGGCTTTGTTCTATCCTATTCGGAAACTGCAAAGGCTATAAACTACAAAATTACAAAATAAGTATTACCCTTGTCCCAAATGTCTTAATAAAATAAAGTTCTCATGTCTCAATTTATATCACAAAAATCTTCATAATTTTCTTAAAAAGATATGCTGACTGACCCTTAAACTGCCTAAAAAGCAGGAGGGAGATTTTCTAGTAATATCTGTGACCTCAGATGCATCAATCTTATCCCTGTGGCACCAGCCCAAGCTCTAAAATATGAAATTTTGGTATCAAATTCTCATTGGCTATAAAACTGGAATAGTGGCCGGGCGTGGTGGCTCAAGCCTATAATCCCAGCAGTTTGGGAGGCTGAGGCGGGTGGATCACGAGGTCAAGAGATCGAGACCATCCTGGTCAACATGGTGAAACCCCGTCTCTACTAAAAATACAACAAATTAGCTGGGCATGGTGGCTCATGTCTGTAATCCCAGCTACTCAGGAGGCTGAGGCAGGAGGAGAATTGCCTGAACCCAGGAGGCGGAGGTTGCGGTGAGCCGAGATCGCGCCATTGCACTCCAGCCTGGGAAACAAGAGCGAAACTCCGTCTCAAAAAAAAAAAAAAACTGGAATAACAAAATGGAAGCACAGGCTCTGAATTCACATATGTCACTTATTCTCAATAAGACTTATTCATTCGTTCATTCACAAATATTTACTGAGTACCTTCTATGTACTTAAATCTGTTCTGGTATGTACCAGTGAACATACCAGTGAATATCCCAGCTCTGACAGAGCTGACATAGTAGTGTTAGAAGGGAGATCGAGAAAAAAATATGACAAAGTCAATTATGTGAAATGGCATAAAGTAAAGCGTATTATGGGGAAAAATATAAAGCAGGGCAGGGCTCTCTGAGAGGCTTCAACATAAGCGAAGACTTGGGAAGGTAAGGGAGTGATGGAAGTGTGTGCCAGGCAGAAAGAAGAAGCATGGCAAAGACTATAAAGCAGGACCATGCCTGGTATGTCTGCATACCAGCCAGGAGGCCAGTACAGGAGATGCATTCAATGGAGAGGAAAAGGAAGTCAGTTCAGAGAATAACTGGGAGCCAGTCATGAAGGTCCCTGGAAGACATTTGGCTTTTACTCTGAGTAAAATTGAGAGACATTAGAAAAACCAGTTTGGGATACAAGAATGGCATGATCTGGTTTATATTTAAATATATATATATAACTGTCTTCTTTGTTGAAAATAGATTGTTCATGGGCAAGGGTTGAAGTGGAGAAACCAGTGAAGTGGCTACTGCAATGGCCAGGCAAAAGATGATGGAGGCTCACACTCCTACAGTAGTATCTGATGACAGTGACAGGTGTTGGACTGACGATGTACTTTACAGATAGAGCCAATGGGATTCCCCAATGCATGAGACATGGGATGTGCAAGAGAACACAGTTAATGATAATTCCAAGGCTTTGATCTAGCAATACAATTCCATTAGCTACCATGGAGGTGGCAATGTGTGGAGCAGGCCTGGGAGAAAAGATTATCAGGAGTCCCATTTTGGACATGTGAAGTCTGACATCTTAGACATGCAAGTTGGGGTTCGGAATGCAATGTGAGCTAGATATGGGAGTCTCAAGCCACAGGGGAAGCCTGGACTGGAGATAAACATTTGGGAATATGCATCAGTTTCTTCATTTGTGACATGGGATTATTATTAATAACTACTACATCTAAGATTTAAAGATTTTTAAATGAAATATATACAGATGAGGCCTCACTATGTTGCCCAGGCTGGTCTTGAACTCGAGGGCTCAAGCAATCCTCCTGCCTCAGCCTCTCAAAGTGCTAGATAGCAGGTATGAACCACCAAACCCAGCCTGAGATTTAAGTTAGATAACACATATAAAGCACTTAGCACAGCTGGGTACAGAGTAGAAATGCAAATTATGTTAGCTTAGTGGTCATCACAGCACTATTAGAGAAAACCACTCACGTTGTTCATGATCCTTAAGCATCACACAATGAATTAGGCTACAGTGTGTATATAACTCATGATGCAGTCTAAAAATATATTTCATTGCTAAGTACTCTGTAGTAACATCCTCACCCTACCTCCAACTATGTGAAAGAGCCATCCAATGATTCAAAAGGGAAAGAGGGATTGATGCAGAAATATCTTTTTACCCATCATCTGAGAATAAAACAGCAATCTGTTTTGACATCAAAATGGATTTATATAAAAACGTCTTATTTAAGATACACTTACCCTACTCCAGCCTCCCCTGTATATAAACGGCATAACAAAAGCAATGCAGGTGAGGGCAGTTGTGGTGAACATGAGCATCCGATGCACCTGCAAGATGAAATGATAAATTCACAAGACACTTAACCATGTAAGAGAAAGGTGGTGTTACAATGGGGAAAATGGGGAAAAGACCGTAGGGTAAGTTTCACTGAAGGCAAGCATTTGATTGACATCTACAGTTTGCAGTTGAGTTAAAAAAAAAAAAAAAAAACAACTTAGTATACTATTAAACTTTTAAGAAAACCCTAAGCTGCCGTCCTCATCATTCAAAAGTGTTTGCCAAGACTTCACCTGCACAGAGCAGCAGGAATGGATATTTCACACACAGACCATATTTACTTGCCAAGTCCTTCATTTCCTTCCAAAGATATTTATTAAGCTCCATCAGCAAGCACAGTGCAATACCAGGTGCAATGAGATAGTAAGGAAACAAACAAACAAAAAATACTGTCTCCTGAGGAACTTCAGATGTAATTGAGTCAATAAGAGAAAAATATGTGAAATAAATAATTCATGATACAAATTAGGAGAACAATAAGTGTGAAAATGGCCACTGTTTATTGATTATGCCAGGATAACTGGTGCAGACAGAAACTATCTTGGGGAAAGCAGGAGGCACCCTGTGTATGCGTGTGTGAATGGATGGATGGATGGGTGGATAGATGGATGGATGGATGAAGACAGAGATAAAACTACCATGTGTATATACACACATCATCAGCATCATAAATTTAAAGGCAGTGGAGGATTTGAGTTGATGAAGGAAGACACAAAGAGTCTTCCAGCTGGAAATATCCACATGAGGAGATACAAGAGAGAGAGCACAAGAGCAAAAGCACGCAAGTGATAGCAAGAAAGCAGTTACCTGGAAGCAAAACCACAGGCAGAGAAGGAAAGGAGCAAGGCAAGCCATAAAGCAGTACTGAGAACAAATCAAACAGATTGGCCCTCCCAGGCAATAGTGAGAAATGAGGCTAGGTAAGGTAAACCTTACCATCTACAAATTTATATGAACATTAAGTGTCAAGGACACCCTCTTACAAAGTCAAAACTGTTCCAACAAGCAGTATTTTTTTGTACAGGTATGTACATTCTTTTTTTTCTTTTTTTTTTTTTTGAGATGGAGTTTCGCTGTTCTTACCCAGGCTGGAGTGCAATGGCACAATCTCGGCTCACCGCAACCTCCGCCTTCTGGGTTCAAGCAATTATTCTGCCTCAGCCTCCTGAGTAGCTGGGACTACAGGCGCACACCAGCATGCCCAGCTAATTTTTGTATTTTTAGTAGAGACAGGGTTTCACCTTGTTGACCATGATGGTCTCAATCTCTTGACCTTGTGATCCACCCGCCTCAGCCTCCCAAAGTGCTGGGATTACAGGCGTGAGCAACCACGCCCGGTCTCTACAGGCATGTACATTCTAACTCAACATGAACTCATTGATTTTCCACTATATATGTAAATATCTATACTCTATGACCCATGAAAGACAAAGTTTGTTTTTCTTTGTTCTGAAGGATATTCATTGCCTCTTGCTATGTTCCTATTAGTAGACTGCCTTCCCAACCCACGGGAAGGAAGAACGCAAAAAAGAACACTTTCAGTTTCTCTTCCCACCGACACAGGAGGTAGATGATCCCAACTGGTGAAATAGAGATAATTTAACATTCAATGGCCCACAACCAGAGGAGAGACTGAAACACAGGAAGCACCCACTATTTCTTTCTTCAGCTCCCCCGCATTCCTTGGCCTGTCTTTACTCAGGGCAGTGCAGTGGATGAATGCTCTTCCAACATCTCCCTCTACAAACAGAGTATAAGTAAAAGTCATTGGGTCCCAAAGTCCGTGTTACAAAGGGACTCACATGGCCCTGACACATTCTTCAGGCCAGCCTGATTCTTCCTAAAACCGTCTGTATTCTTATCTCTATCAAGCATGTTGTGCCCACTCTCAACCGATCAGGAAACCAAAGGGAAAACGGAGGAGCCCAAACCTACAACTGCAGCCACTAAACACATACCCACATCGTATGTTTTCATGTTGCAATGTTCAAATACTATGAAAATTGCATGGAACTTTTTTTCCCTCACCTACCTGAAACCAAGCTGCTGCACCAAGGAAGAAAGCTCTTGACCAAACTGGTTTGAAGAAGCGGGCAACCAGGACTCCTATGCTAACAGTAGTCATCCATGCCACAAACATTAAGGCACCTGAAAGTGAGATAAATGCAATTAGCAGACAATCACAAACTAATCAGACTGTTGCTTAAATGACCAAGCCAAATGCTCAGAAAATACAAACAGCAGCGAAATACATTCAGCCAACGTAAGTACAACCTAAAAAGACACTATACATCATAGTTTTACTACCGTTATTCTTTCGAACAGCAAACACTTCTGTAGTTCCTGTGACGTGCTAGGCATTCTAAATGCTTTACATATACTCATTTAGTTGACCTTTACAACAATCCTATGATGTAGTTATAATTATTAGTCCAGTTTTGCTGAATAGGGAAACACACCCATAGGGAAATTAAGTAGCTCTTCCATGGTTACAGAGTCGGGCTACAAACCCTACCTGTTTCAGCAACTGTGCTCTTAACCACTATACTAATAACTGCCTGCCTGCAGTTATTTCAAAATCTTCTCATATCTCACTCCAAAAAACAACAAAAAAAATGGGCACATTATTTCTGAATCCAGTTACTACTAAACTGCAGCTACAGTATCAGTTGAAGCAAATCGACAACAATAAAGTTATTTTCACGTTTAACTGTGATGGCATTCATAAAAACTTCACTATAACGGATAACTCTGGAGAATATAAAGGGGATATCCCAAATAAGGAAAGTTTTCCCCAAAACTCTAATAGTTTAGAGTAGTTTAGTATACATTACACTATTCCCATGCTTTTAAACCCCATCCTTTTAACAAGAAGCCAGGCTGGTTTTCAAATGAAATCAATTTTCATCTGTAGAACCAGAGTATGGTAAGAGTCTTGGTTTTTTGTTTTTTATTTTTTGTGTTTTGGTTTTTTGGGGACAGAGTCTCACTCTGTTGCCCAGGCTGGAGTGCAATGATGCTATCTCAGCTCTCTGCAACCTCCGCCTTCTGAATTCAAGCAATTCTCCTGACTCAGCCTCCCAGGTAGCTGGGACTACAGGTATGCACCACCATGCCTGGCTAATTTTTGTATTTTAGTAGAGATGTGGTTTCACCATGTTGGCCAGGCTGGTCTTGAACTCCTGACATCAGGTGATTCACCCACATCAACCTCCCGAAGTGTTGGGATTACAGGTGTGAGCCACCGAGCCCGGCCTAGAGCCTTGTTTTTAGGATACTGTTCTTCCAACTTCATTCTATTCCTCATTTAGGTATTATCTATGAAGACTAAGTATAGCACTAAGTACTTTGTATGCTCTCAAATACTTGTACATTGATCAGTGCAACAACAAAATTGTACTTTTGAAATCAAACTACTGTTTTAATTAAACAATCAAAATCACAGGCCACTCTTTTATTAGTATTTATTTTAATGAACGGTAAAAATTAAGGTCTCATAAAAGTTAAATTAACCCAGTACTATTTGACCCTGGCTGCAGTTAGAAACAACTAGGATAGTTTTTCAAAATTATAAACGTTTTAAAACCTCCACTGGTGATTTTCATACATAGCCAAGGTTAAAACCACTAAATTAGCCCTAGTCTCCATTTTTAATGAAAATTAGCAAACGTTAAGCTAGATGATGCTTACCAACAGCTGTGTCAAAAATAATAATAGATGCTGCTGCCTGCAAGTGTTAGTGTTTAAACATAAAAGCTTTATAAAAGTTAGCTCAATTATGCCCACAACCATTCCTAATCCAGCCAGCACTGAGTTAGCAGGTAAGTGGATTCCACAAAGTAATAATAATACTACACATGTAACCTACCATGAACCTTCAGAAGACGTACAGAATGGGATCCTCCTATGTTCTTTGGAGAGTCTGTCACATCATATTTTTCATAGGTTATCAAAGGTTGCTGAGAGTGCTTGTAAATTCGACCTGCAAATTAAAAAAAAAAAAAAAAGAGAAATGACAAAGAATAATTACTTCTTCAAAAAAAAAAAACAACAGAAATGGAGACATGGGCAGGGCATAGCAACAAAATTTCTTAAGGTAATAAAAAATAAATTACATATCAGCAGAGATGCCATTCATATGCAAAAGCAGCATAAAGATATCTGCAAGGGGCCAGGCGCGGTGGCTCAAGCCTGTAATTCCAGCACTTTGGGAGGCCGAGGCAGGTGGATCACGAGGTTAAGAGATTGAAACCATCCTGGTCAACACGGTGAAACCCCGTCTCTACTAAAAATACAAAAAATTAGCTGGGCATGGTGGCGCGTGCCTGTAATCCCAGCTACTCGGGAGGCTGAGGCAGGAGAATTGCCTGAACCCAGGAGGTGGAGTTTGCGGTGAGCCGAGATCACGCCATTGCACTCCAGCCTGGGTAACAAGAGCGAAACTCCGTCTCAAAAAAAAAAAAAAAGGTATCTGCAAGGGCACACAGACTTCCTAAGGAAAGTTAAATACTGTAGCCAACCAAGAGATGAATTAAAATGAGAACTAGGAATGGAGAATGTCTGGTGAAAGAACTGGTGGCATAAAGAGACAAGTTAAACAATAAATTAAAACAATTACTGTTAATATGTTCACAAATCATTGAAAATGAAAAAAAAATTCTTGAAAGAGAATATGTATTTTTTAAAAATCTAGAATCCATTGACCACCACCTGCATATAAAATCCTGGAATAAACTAATTGAAATTGGGCTGGGGGAAAAAGAATGGTTGGAAGACAAAAGAAAGTATTTTATGATATGTTATTTCACACATGGTCAATTCGAACTGACTAACAAACCAAAATCCCAAATAGTAGTGACATAAGCAAATTGCGGATACATTAGTTATTATTGCCATTTATTGTGTACAAATTAAATCAGTGAATCTACAGAATTATTCTGAGTGTATGTAGATCTGTGTGTGTTCCTTCTAGGAATCTATCTTACCAACGATATATGTATAGGAATGTTAACAGCAATGTTTTCTATGCCAGCAAAAAACAAACGAACAAACAAACAAACTAAATATCCATCATCCCATCATCAGGAGAATGAGCAAATAAATTCTGGAACATACATATTTTTAGAATACTATGCTACATCAGAAAAAGACATTTAATATAACAAATATATGAAACTTTGTCTAAAACAAATTATAAATATTAGACCACAAACTACATCTCAATAATTTCCAAAAGGAAATGAAAGGATAAACGTCATCTTATCTGCCCAAAATGCCACAAAACTAAAAATTAACATCAAAAAACTAGGGGGGGGAAATGCCCCACCTAGATATTTATAAAACTACTTTTTAATAACCTTTTGTTTAAATAAAAAATTAAAAAACTAAAATTACATGTCTTCATCAACATGTATAATAATAAAGACACTTCATAACGAAACACGTGTGATGCAATCAAGGTACTATTCAAAAAATGTTTTTATCATCTTAAAAGCATTTCCTAACACACACACTCACACACACACACACACACACACACGCACGCGCGCACGCAGAGTAATCCTTTCATTCAAGGTGCATCTAAAATAACAAAATATAACCTGGGAAACCAAAAAAGAATATCAATTAAAACTTAATTGATATTAAGAACTTAAGCTAGAGAGCCTAAAAATAAAAAAATTAAAAAAATCAATCCTCTAAAAGGATAATTAAAATCCCTTGAGTTTTTGGCAACTCTGACCACACAATGAAAGGAATCATCATAATATTAGAAATCTAAAGGGTAACATAGCTGCCAATATAGAAGACAATTTTGTATAAAAACACTATATACAACTTTAAAGTAGCCCAAAAACAATTCAAAATCTAAATGAAATGGATGAATTTGGGAAGAGAAATATGGAATTACAAAAAATTGGCCAAACTAGTAGTAACCATAGAGAGTAATAGCAATAGAAAAATCCTTTTTAATTAGTCAGATATCTTCATCTAACATCCAGCCTGTTACATGGGTGAGTTCTACCATATCACTAAAATTTTTCCTTAATTATTTTTTAATGTTATTTTTAATTTTCATTGAGATGGGGTCTCACTCTGTTTTCCAGATTGGAGTGCATTGTTGTAATCACAATTCATTCCAACCTTGACCTCCCAGTCTCCAGAGATCCTCCCACCCTCAGCCTCCCAAGTAGCTGGGACCACAGACGCACACCACCATGCCCAGCTAATTTTTGTATTTTTTGTGGAGATGGGGTTTTATCATGTTTCCCAGGCTGGTCTTTAACTTCTGGGATCAAGTGATCTGCCCACCTCGGCCTCTTAAAGTGCTTGGATTACACAGTGTAAGCCACTGCGCCTCAGCAGTTAAAAATTCTTTTTTATTTAAACTCTTCTAGAGTTCACTCTATGAGTTTACTATAACCCTGAAATCAAAACTAGGCAGGTGTACATTCACACAAGCACCCCACAAATTCACATACAATCCCCATGCCATAAACCTAAATAACTTGTGAATATATGTGTAAAAAGCCTAAAGAAAATATTAGTAAATCAAATCCATTATATATTAAGAGAATAATAAGACATGACCAAGTAAAGCTTATCCCAGGAATGTGAGGATTGTTCACCATCCAGAAATCTACTAAAGTAATGATGAAATATCATCTCAATCACTGCCCAAAAGAAATTTGATGAAATTCAGCACCCATTCATGATATGAATTCTTAGTAAAGTTAGAAACAAAAGAATATTTCCTCCACATTATAAAGGATATCCACAAAAAAATACAACCAACAAGACATTTAACATTGAATATCAGAAGCATTTGGCATCAAAATAAAAAATACCACAAAAATTCTTGGCACCTCCCTGCTATCATTCTACATTATTCAGCAAGAACTAGATGATGCAATGAGACAAGAAAGAAAATGAGGGCTATTAACCTGTTATTATTTGCACAGGATATGACATTTATCTAGAAAAATCCAAGATAATCAACTGGAAAATTAGGACGCCTAAATTTAAGATAAATATTCAATAATGAATAACTGTCCTTTATGACAATACATTTAGAAAACATATGAAAAACAATCCCATTCATAATAATTTGTTTTACAGAACTACAAAATTATAGGAACAAAGTAACCAAATATATATGTCCTGTATGAAGATATGTAGAAAACCAGCAGGATCTGAATAAATGGAATATCCCAGTGTGTTCCTGCATAGACAGACTCACTATTGCACCGAGTTATTATTCTCTAAATTGCTCTAAGATTGCATTACAATTTCAATCACAACCTCAACAGAGTTTTTAATAGAATTTGACAAATCAGCTCAAGCCAGGGAGTTGGAGAACAACCTGGGCAACATGGCGAGACCCCTTCTCTACAAAAAATGCAAAACATTAGCTGAGAATGGTGGCACATGGCTATAGTCCCAGCTACTTGGGAGGCAGATGTGGGAGGATCACTTGAGCCTGGGAGGTTGAGCTTCAGTGAGCTGGGATTGCACCACTGCACTCTAGCCTGGGCAACAGAGTGAGACTCTGTCTCAAAAAAGGAAGACTTTGACAAATTATGTCTAAAGTTTAACTAAAAGAACAGATACACATGAAGAAGCAAAAATTCTTGAAAAAGGCCAGAAGGGGAATCATGTTCTATCAAAACTCACAAACCTATCATAAAGCAATAGTAATTCTAACTAATGCAGGAATAGACAAATATTATCAATAGAAGAACAGATTAGAAAAAATTCAATTTACTGATAGACTTTTAATGTATGATAAAGAGGCTTTTAAAGCAGTCAGAAAACATGGACTATTCAAAAAGTGGTGTTAGGACATCTGGTTTCTCATTCAGTGAATACTATTTTACCATGGCTTGATATAAAGCAGAAAATGAGAAAGAAGAGTTTTATGTAATGAATACTAGAGAAGAGAATGTCAAGAAGAAAAAAGACAATAACTGTCAGGAGCTACAAAAGCGTCAAAAAGAAAATGATCAAGAAAACTATCAAAAATGACAAGAAAGGCACTGGGGAAGTTACAATCCTGCATTCATTGAGTGGCAGTGATGAGAAAGCGACTGCAAGCTCAACAAGCCTGAGAGACAAGTTGGAAGAAAATGTGTTTAAACTCTGAATCACTGTAGAGTCATGAACTAAGCATGACCTTAGCCTTCATGAAAGCAGAAGTCCATTATGATTTCAGAGTTCCATTGTGTGGCTCCATTATAATTTTGCAGTCTTGCTCAAAGGGAGTTCATGCTTCGTGCAAGAACCAGCAGGAATAGCTGACCTACAGTACTTCTAAACTCTTTAAATGACAGGTCATGTGATTGCCGAGTCTCTACTTCATTATTAAAATTGGTAGATTTCCTAATTGTGAATTACTTAATTACCCAAGTGATTTCTACCTTTCAGTTTAAACACTCAGTATTTCACATGACTGCTTATTCCAAGACAGGAGAACGTCCGCAACATGGGGAAAATAGCAGTTAGAAAAAGGTTTTACCTTTTTTTTTTTTTTGAGACGGAGTTTTGCTCTTGTTAAGGCTTTAAATGGATAGACTGTTAGGAGACTTTACCGAAACTGGATACATTTTACATTTATATGGGTTACAAAGATTATATGATTGCTTTAAAAATTGGCTAAAATCTTACAAAGTCTTACTGCTTTTATGCAGAATTCAATTTATAAATGGTCCACATACATAAAGCAAGTAATGGAAGACGCAATGACTTATGTGTAACTGTCCTTTGTTCCCCAGTACAAAAAGATTGTAAAATTAATTCCCAGGAGTAGCAATCTCCAGGTTTGTTTATTGGAGTGTTTTGTTTCTTGTGCTTTGCACTGTACCATTATAAAAAACAATTAACATGTGCCCCTAATATATGTATATTTTTGTTAATAAACGATTCATGTTTATTGCATTAATTGTATATTGTATTAATATCTGATATCTATTACACCCAATATATATTATATTTATATATTATATCTAATATACATTAATATATTAATATGTATTAATATCTTATGTACACCAGCAGTCCCCAACCTTTTTGGCACCAGGGACCAGTTCCATGGAAGACACTTTTTCCATGGAAGATGGGGAAGGATGGTTTTGGGAAGAAACTGTCCCACCTCAGATCATCATGCATCAGATTCTCATAAGGAGCACACAATGTAGATCCCTCACATGCACAGTTCACAATAGGGTTCACATGCCTATAAGAATCTAACGCCACCGCTGATCCATCAGGAGGCGTAGCTTATGCAGTAATACTCACTCTCCCACCACTCACCTCTTGCTGTGCAGCCCAGTTCCTAATAGGCCACAGACCAGTACCAGTCCATGGCCCATGGGTTGAGGATCCCTGATGTATACTATAAAATATGTTAAAATATTTAAAATTTTAATCACATAAAAGTAAATCTAAACAGAGTTCTAGTATTGTTTCCTGTATCCCCTGGACTGCCTTGCAATGTGCACACCTTACTTGGAAAAACCCCATCCTAGAGCAGTAAGCTATCAAACTACAACACACATAAAACCACCTGGGATGCCTATTAAAATGCAGATTTCATACACCAACAAAAGAGACTCAGTGGGTCTGAGATGGAGTTCAGGAATCTGCATTGCTAACAGTCACCCCAGGTGGTCTGAAGCACATTAAGCCCCACACTTGGAGAAACACCACCAAGGAGCCAAGGCACAGATTCTCCCTCCCATGCCATCAGCACAGTGACATCAGCCAGCAACAGAGGGGGAACAATTCTCTATTTTCACACGGATCGTCCATTAACTAGGTGTTTCTGAGGGAGTGTCAGAACTACCATTTAAAAGAAAACATGTTCTGACTTCTACATTGTTAACCTACGAAGAGACATTTCACCTGCTGTATATCCACACACATAAAATGTATTATACAACAGAATTCTTCCATTTAAATGAAATAGTTTTTCTCTAACATATAATTCTTTTTTTTTTTAGAGATGGGGTCTCACTATGTTGCCCAGGCTGGAGTGCAGTGGCTGTTCACAGGTGCGATCCCACTACTGATCAACTCAGGAGTTTTGACCTGCTCTGTTTCCAACCTGGGCCGGTTCACCCCTCCTTAGGCAACCTGGTGGTCCCCTGCTCCCAGAAGGTCACCATATTGTTGCCAAACTTAGTGCAGACACCCAATCAACATAGTGTACTACAGCCCAAAACTCCTGGGCTCAAGCGATCCTCCAGCCTCAGCCTCCCAAGTAGCTGGGACTACAGGCATGCACCACTGCGTCCAGCTCTAAAGTATAATTTTAAGTAAAAAACTTTAAAATGTATAAACCGTTAAATACCCTAGCAATGTAATAAATCCATTTGAATCAATAATCATTTATGAAGCATCTATAACATGTTGGGCACTGATATGGTTTGGCTCTGTGCCCCACCAAGTCTCACTTTGAATTGTACACTCCATGTGTGGGAGGAAGGGCCTGGTGGGAGGGGACTGAACCACGGGGGCACACTTCCCCCTTGCTTTATTCATGATAGTGAATGAGTTCTCAGGAGATCTCATTGTTTAAAAGTATGTGGCACTTCCACCTTCTCTCTTTCTCTCTCCTGCCGCCATTTAAGACGTGCCTGCTTTCCCCTTGCCTTCTGCCATGATTGTAAGTTTCCTGAGGCTTCCCCAGCCATGCTTCCTGTACAGCCTGTGGAACTGTGAATCAATTAAATCTATTTTTTTCATAAATTACCCAGTCTCAGGTAGTTCTTTGTAGCAGTGTGAGAACAGACTAACACGGACACCAAAAGAAGCAGTCGGATGTTATAGAAAGGATACAACTTTTGTAATTGGAAGTGACCTGGGTTTAATTCCTGACTCTGCTACTTGTTTGATTTTGGAAAAGTTGCTTGGCCCTACTAGGTCTCAGTTTCCTTATTTGTAAAAAAAAAAAAAAAAAAAAAAAGCAACAAAACACCTACATACAAAGCCTCTGTGAGAAATAAATGAGATATATGTAATATGTAACAAGTGGTAGCTGAAACTGTAAACACCACCACAATGACCTGCACTTTAGTGGTAGCTGCTTAAAAACACAAATATTTGACCTTTTCTTCATTAAAATTAATTCCCTAGATTTCCCATATTCTTTTTCTTTTTGAAGCAGGGTCTCCCTCAGTTGCCCAGACTGGAATGCAGCCTCAACCTTCTGGACTCAGGCATTCCTTCCACCTTAGCCTTCTGAGTAGCTGGGACCACAGGTGCACACCACCACTCCCAGCTAATTTCTTTCTTTTTCTTTTTCTTTCTTTCTTTCTTTTTTTTTTTTTTTTTTTTTTTGAATAGAGACCAGGTTTTGTCATGTTGCTCAGGCTAGTCTGGAACTCCTGGGTTCAAGCAATCCACCTGCCTTGACCTTTCAAAGTGCTGGAAATAAAAGTGTGAGCCACTGCACTCAGCCCATTTCCCATGTTCTAAAGTGCTGAATACTGAATAGGCTCTGAAGGCAAAATTCCAGCTGTACCATTTACTTGTCTGGGCAAATTACTTCACCTTTCTAAGTCCCAATTTCCTTTTAGATAAAAGAGATAATAATAGTACATCTCTAGCTTGTATTTTACAAAGATAAAAATGAAGACTGTATCTAAAATGCTTAGCCACTGACTGGCACTCAGTAAGCACTGAGTAATTTTTATTTATTATTGTCAGGCCATATTAAGAAATTATCACTCATGTTAAGAAATTTTTACTCATTATTATCAAGCCGTATTAAGAAATTACTTTCAAGCCATATTCGCTGCTGCTGATGCAAACAAGAGTACACGATTTGACTAAGATAACTATATGTATCACCTATATCTAAATCTAAAAGTGTTCCTTTAGCATTTTTCCTTCAGCCAAAAAAATAAATTAATAAAAATAAACAGGCTAATTAATTAATTTAAATGTTCCTAAATTTTAACATTGAGCAGATATTTTATCCCGCTTCAAAACTTTTTGGGAGTCTGCTTTACCAAGAGTAGAAAATCTAAAACACATGGTAGAATTGTAGGCTTTTCACAATTTGCCTGTATCACATTTCCTGCTCTTCCTTTCTTTACCCCATCCCTGTCTCTCCATTCTAGACATCTACTTGCTCACCATTTTCAAAGTGGGCGATATTCTCAAAGTTTTGGAGCAACATTATCTCCTAAGAGATGAGTTACTAAAAACTACATTGATGTTTCCTGCAGTTCCTCAAAAACCATTAGCCAAGACCTCAAACAATATCGAATTATTCCTACTATTATGTGTTGCAATATCCACCAGAGTAGTCTTCTTGAGAATAAACTAAAGATTCAGACTCATAAAACTATGTTAGGCTGTACTTAGCATCAGAGTCATGTAGAAAGATGTGAGAAAGGAAACACGCCACACTGGCAGGGCATTGTGAGGCATTCCCCCTCCACAGGAGTTCTTACAGCCGCTTACTCAGCTGTTCAGGAGCTATTCTCTTTTTCCCCTCCCCAGCTCCCTAGAGAAAGCAAGTCTAAGGAGGTAAGATTCATATTGGGCAAGTTTTCCCATAGGAGCCAATATGTCTTGCAACAACCCCAAAGGCACCATTTCTAGGTCCCCTGCAAAGTTAATCTACTATCACTACACTCAGGGAAGCCCAAAGATATGGCTTCTTACAAGGTATTTATAGTTCTTCTGGTCATATCCATTTTACAAATCAGAAGCCATTCTGATGGTGAGCAATGTTGCTTTATAACACAATGGACACTCTACCTCTGTCTAGTTTCCAGCAAAATTTTTCTACCTTAATCCAGTTTCTGGCAAAATTTGACATTTATAGGAGAGTATGTGCCTACAAAATGGGCAATTACAGTAGTTTTTCCAAAAATGGGGAAAAGAGAAGGGAGAAAATAGAAAAAAAAAACTTGAAAAGACAGCTTAACAATATACTTACCATCATCAGCTGCACCATCTGCTAGAAATATGTAATAGCTTGTGTTTAGATCAAATCTATTCTTAACTCCAGGGACGGTAATGTTTCTTCTGAAAGAACACTGCATAACACCATCCGCCAACCTCCAAGCCATATCCTCAAGGCTATCCTACAAACACACACAATGGGTCTTCTCAGCACTTTCCAAAGATTTGCTAAAAATAAGATATGATCAAAATCCTGCCCTGTTCAGTTTCCTTTCTCTAAGATCATATGTGCATGCTTTGTCTGCAGTGTCATTGTTTTTCCATTTCCTCTTTGAAGAGAACAAGAAACATTTTCTCCCAGTTTGTCTTTAGCCCATTTGGCAAAATAATGATAATAATATTTTTACTTTGAGCCAGAACCCCACGATTCCTCTACCTAGGTAGGAAATTTTAGCAGATGTACTAATACCATCTGGCCACTAGTATACAATCAAAAACATTGAAAAAGAAACAATTAACAAGTACTACCCTAGCGGCCAAAATGCAACATGCAACTGGAGAGAAGTTCCAAGCCAGCTGTGGGAGTCAGCCCCATGGGAAAGTTGTGCACAGTTATGTCATTAAGTGATAGCTACTCCTCAGTCAGATCTCATTTGCTATGTCATTAAGTGATAGCTACTGCTCCTTCAGAGCTCATTTGCCTGTCAGCTGTCCTGCAAATAGACACTTCTCTATCAGAAATAGTCCACCTTCGACACACATGCCAACAAAGGACACTTAAGACAACTGTCCAGGGCATCTCCGGCCTTTGCCAAATGTGCTCCTCTTTCTCACTAGTCAAGAAATTTTGTCGCTAACGTCATTCTCTTCTTAAAAACCTGTAAGCATTTGAAAAGCAGCTGATGCCCTGACCATCTTAATAAACCATAAAGTACTTTTTTGTAAGCTACAACAAAAAGGATGCAAGTGACACAAGCAAGAATTCATCTGTCCCTACAAGACAAACTTCTGAAGTATAGAAAAGTTTCTCAGAGATCATTATGAGAGGAGCCCTGCTGGCAGATCCCTGCTCAGGCTAGGCTGTAACTGCGGGGGTTAGAGGCAAACTCGCAGCACGGCAACCCCAGTGATAGCCACACAGCTGGAAAGCCGGTTTCCAGGTGAAGGTTCCCGGAGTCTTCACACCGACCCTGGAGTCCATTACAGGGTGACTTCGCCCCATTAAATGGGAAGGCTGGATGTACACAGTCTGATCTTCACGAATACATAGATAAGCATCATCATCACCCTGAAAAACAATTGCAAATGAGAACAAAGTTAGAAGGAATTTCAGCATTTTGTTTTCTTTTTTAAAAAAAGTATCTCAGGAAACCAAATATTATTTGATTTTTTAAAACATAATTTACTGAATTGTGAATGAATGACGCTATGAATTCTAGAGAACTGGCTATCTTAAAGTTGTGAGTTAAAAATAATTTTGTTATAATACAAAAACACTAAAATTTCAGTGTAAAATAATAGATTAAGATAGATATATGTTTATATGTTCATAAACCCATCACTAATTGAACAACACTTTAATATTTTCATGTATATTCACCCAAACCTATTTCATGTATATTATACCCAAACCTATTTGTATTATACTTATTTGTTCCTTCCAAAAAGGAAAATATAGAGTTCTGTTACTTTTTTCAATTAACTTACCATGAACAATATTCCAGATATTTATTTGCTAATAAATATCTATGTCCTACATATTTTAATGACCGAATACACTGCATTGTATTGGTTATTTTTCTTGGTAACTTCTAAGAAGGAAGACACTGTAAAGAAATATGTACACAGTGTACATATTCAGTAGGCTTAATGTTATATAACTGAGGCAAAAATATCTGCACTTGAGGAGGAACTAGTCAAACAGTCTACCTCTTATCTAAACTTTAGTTTCCAAGATTCCTTAACTCTGAAACTTAGATCTTATTCTTTAAAGTGATCATCAAGCCAGGCACAGTGGCTCACACCTATAATTCCAGCACTTTGGGAGGCCAAGGAAGGAGGATTGCTTGAAGCCAGGAGTTTGAGATCAGCCTGGGCAATATGATGACACCTCGTCCTAGAAAAAAATGTTTAAAAATCAGCCAAGCATGGTGGTACATGCAAGTGGTCCCAGCTACTAAGAAGGCTAAGGCAGGAGAATCATTTCAGCCCAGGAGGTCAAGTTTGCAGTGTGCCATGATCATGCCACTGCACACCAGCCTAGGCAACTGAGGGAGACCTTGAATCCCAAAAATAGAAATAAAATACAATAAAATTAAGTGATATTAAAAAAAAGACTGTCAATTAATAGGAGACAAAGAATGAAAAAGAATACCAAAAAAAGAAGCAGACTGTAACTTCAAAGTACATTTAAACAACGGTACAACGGAATAATCTTGATTTTAACTTACTGTCCATGGCTTGGTCTTTCACTTGGTTTCTCCATAAACTGTCTAAGAAGTGCTGTAATATGTGCTTTAGTCACCCAATTCCTTAAACAAGGTCCAAGACTGCCTGGTTATAACAAATCTTGCTATAAACTCCAATATTAAGTTCTAACATCTTTCTATACTTTCAGATTCAACTTTATTTTTAAATGTTCTACTTTTGAAAACTCTCAAGAATGTACTCTTAGCAATGAGTACATTATAATATGTTACACATATTACAGTAAAATCAGAATTAGCCCAATTCAAGATAAGAAATTTGGAGCAATCATGCCTTAAACCAGGAGTCAACAAACTGTGGCATACAGATCAAATTCAACCTAAAGCTTGCTTCTATATAGCTCATAGGCTAAGAATGACTTTTACATACTTAAATGGTAAAAGAAAGAATATTTCATGACAAATGAAAACATATCAAACTGAAATTCAATGTCCATGTTTCATTGGAACACAGCCAAATTTATTCATGTACATATCATCTATGGCTGCTTTTACACTACACCAGAGGGTGGTAGTTAAAACAGAGACAATATCACCTACAAACTCTAAAATATCCTTATAGAAAAAGTTTTCTAAACCCCAATTTATCTTTTATTTTGGAGATGGATTCTCACCCTGTTGCCCAGGCTGGTATCTAAATGTTGGGCTTAAGCAATCCTCCTGCCTCAGCCTCCCAAAGTGCTGAGATTACAAGTGTGAGCCACCATGCTGGGCCTGAACCCTGATTTAAACAATGCATGTTTTCTAGAATATCTATCATGAATGGACACAGAAATTCTTTTGCTGCATAAAAAAAATCAGTAAAAATAATGGTTGACTTGAGGCAAACTAAGGATAGGAAGGCAAATAAAATCAAACAAGTAGACCTCCCAAATATTAGAGAAGATCATGGGGATAGACAGCAGGGAACTCTCAGTGCTCACTATTCCAAATGAGGAGTGAGTGAAGGTGCTACTGCAACCACAGGCTCCAGGCAGTTCTAGAAACCTCAATTCTGAAAGCATAAAAGTACATATAAGAACTTCCAGCAAATCCCTGGGCTGTACAGAAGCTCTCTCCCCAGTCCACCCCTCTCCAGTGGAGCATTTACATTGCATCCTATGAGAAAATATTTGTTGGAAACTGTGGGAGAAATAATAAGATGATGTTTTTTAAGAATATGGTTCTTACAATCAAAAGCTGTGTTTTAATGAAGAAGACAGATAGGTAAAGTGACATGAAAAGACAAATTATGTATGGCCAGATAATTGAAGATGGCTCATCAGAAAAGACAATAATTAAGCAGACCTGAGAAGATAAAACATATTTATAGGAGGACAAGGTAAAGATGAGATTAAAGGAAAGGTTTTCCAAGTTGAAGAACTTCTAGGACCAATGATATAGAAATACGAAAATTTTAAGAAACAGGTTTGTGTTAACTAAAATATATGAAGGATTAAAAGAGAGCTCTAAGGCTGAAAATTCCAGAAGTATTCCCAAAGTAGTGTGCACCATGCTTTAAGAAAATAACAGTTTTTCTATAATTACTAAAGTTTTGCCAAAGGTTTGGAGGGATATTTTTAAGAAAATTTTTTTATGAGACAGGGTCTTGTTCTTTCACCCAGGCTGGAATGCAGCGGTGCAAATACTCTTCCTGCAACCTTGACCTCCTGGGACCAAGCGATCCTCCTATCTCAGCTTCCCAAGTATCCAGGACCACAGGTGCATGCCACCACACCCAGCTAATTTTTTGTTAATTTTTTGTGGAGATAAGGGTCTCATTATGTTGCCCAGGCTCATCTTAAATTCCTAGCTTCAAGCAATCCTTCCACCACAGCCTCCCAGAGTACTGGGATTATAGGCATGGGCCACCGCACCCAGCCAAGACAACCTTAAATGTGGCTTGGGGAGAAAATTCCAGTGGAATGGCTGTGTGAAGGATGAAATGGAAGAGGAAATCATGGAAGCAAGGGGACTAATGAGGCGTTACTACAGCAGCCCAGGAAGCAGACAGGAAAGCTATAAGCCAAGTCAGAGATAATGACAACGCAATAAAGAGAATGAAAGAGGTATGTCAAAGATAGAATCAAAAGTACTTGGGAGATCAGTAGCAGTGAACATATTAGCACCCAAATCTTGATTTCTAGATATTATTCCTACTAAAAGGAATTAAAGCTCCTTTGAGAAATAATGAAATGCAAGAAAGTATGAATGGAGAATATCTTGTTACACCAGAAACAAAGACATGCTCAAAAGTGGCAGAGACACATCAAAAGGGCACAGAAGCTTTAAGGGCTCCCAATGACCACATTTGGGTCAATATGACCGTCTAAAAGAATGAATGGTGGTAATAAACTACAACATAGAAACCCATTACTCCACAGTGTTACTACAAAAGGGAAGGGCAAGTACAGAGAAAAGAAAGCTTGTATTTTCATAAGAATGCCAGCTAATAAGTAAGTTAGAAGATCACCAGTTTGGCAACCACAAATGTAGCAATTGATTTATAGGACAAACATCAATAAATACAAAAACCTAGTTACAGGCTATTGAGGAACAGAATATTCATACAGACTCAAAGTATTGCCCCACGTATTACTCATTACAAAAAGAAAATAGACCTTTACAATGCAGAAATCTGACAGACACCAGTGATCAAACATACTATCATCAATAATAGAACAATTGGAAATTATGAAACTTTTGAAATAGTGCACTGATGTGGAAACAGTATCCTTATGTAGCATTTGTGCAAAAAAACTTAACACAAATCTATTATATAAATTGTAGAATGTTCTACAAAATAACCGGCCTGAATTTAATTTAAAAAAGAAAAGAAAATGGGTAAAGTAACTGTTCTAAAGTAAAGGAGATCCAAGAGATATAACAACTAAATGTCCTGAATAATAACTGATTGGATCCTGGATAAGAAACACTTTTTAAAAACAGTTATAAAGGAGTTTATTGGGACAAGTGGGAAAATTGGAATACAGATTGTATGTTACATAAAATTATTATATCATTGTTAAATTTTCTTAATGTGATAAAGATACTGTAGAATTGTGGGAGAATGTCCTTGTTCTTAGGAGACACATGTTGAAAACCTTAGAAATGAAATGTCATGATTATCTGTAATTTACTTTCAAATAGTTTAAGAAGAAATATGTATTTATATACACCACATAAATCAACCGAGCTAGACAGAAATAAAAAGATAAAGTGGCAAATCTAGGTGAAGGGCTTATGGGTGCTCATTGTACTATCTTTTTAACTTTTATGGGGGTTGAAAACCTTTCAAAACAAAAAGTTAGAAATGGCAGGAAGAAGGACCTGAGACATGGATGAAAGGAAGGAATCCAAGTCACAACCAACATTTCTCTGAATACCAAAAATGATGCTGGCAGCAGTAAATGAGGTGTTTATAAATTGCCTGGGACAGTACCCAACAAGAAACAAGCCATCAATAATGGTAGCTGCTTTTCTGATATTGCTAACACCAAGAATGGGGAACACAGGGAGACATTATGAGGCTCAATAAAAAGTTCAGTCTTTTAGATGTTACTTTGTGCTGTTCAGGAACACACATCTAGACGAGACCAGCCTGCAGCTGGAAACCACAGTCTGGAGTCCAAGGGAGTTAGGACTGGGGCGTGGAGAGATGAAGTCTGGAGTAAGATGAAGGAGAAGGAAAGAAGCTAATGATGTGCATACTTGACAGACTTCAAACTATTTCACAAAATATCTCAAATAGGAAAGAGATATGTACAGTACATCTTCACTTAAAGTCATAGGCAAGTTCTCGGAAACTATGACTTCAAGCAAAACAACATACAACATGGTCAATATTTTTTTTTGAGACAGAGTTTCACTCTTGTTTCCCAGGCTGGAGTGCAATGGCGTGATCTCAGCTCAACGCAACCTACGCCTCCTGGGTTCAGGCAATTCTCCTGCCTCAGCCTCCTGAGTAGCTGGGATTACAGGCACACGCCACCATGCCCAGCTAATTTTTTGTATTTTTAGTAGAGACGGGGTTTCACCATGTTGACCAGGATGGTCTCGATCTCTTGACCTCGTGATCCACCTGCCTCAGCCTCCCAAAGTGCTGGGATTACAGGCGTGAGCCACCGCGCCTGGCTGGTCAATTTTTTTCTTCATCAATGTCATAACAAAATGATATTGAAAGAAATAACATTATTCGAGGAACTGCTGTATATAGCCTCACTTAAAATCAAAGCTTCCAAGAACCTATTGATGGCATTGAGGACTTACTGTACTTGGAAATTCGGTTAAAATTAAGATATTAGCAAGTCATTATCATCAGAAATAGGGTAAATTACACATTTTGATTTTAGTGATGAGTTTTAATATACCAAAATAATTGCTAACATTAATTCACAAGCCAAATTGATAAAGGGGTATAATTTAGGTTACTGAATCAGTATTTGTGACATTAGATACCTTCAGTATTTAAATTGACATTATACATTCCAAAGAAACAGCAGGTCACAAAAATACCCTAAGGTTTTAAAAGTAACAACCAAAAATAGAAATTACCACTTTAGTAATATATTTTGAGGCTGATTCATTTCCCCCAAGTTAGACAAACAGGTGTACAGATTACTTTAATCATTAAACAGTATTGCTCTGTAAATCAACTGCACCTGCATAATTATGTCTTTTTTGTAAACATTTTTGATGAGTACTACACTGGAAACAGATAAAATTTCTAAGTAAGATAAACATATCTTGAATTAGAGATAAATGCTTTTGTGCCATCAATGCCTACAATTAAAATAGAATAACTGGCCTACCTGTGGGCTACTCATTACAACAGTGAATGCAGTAATAGTCTTTGCCTCTTGCTTACAGGTTTTATGTAACCAGTAAAAGGAAATGTTATCTATATACTATAGCATGAATTTTGGCTGTAAAGTAACTGGAATAAGTTGGGTCTGTTTTTTTTTTTAGAAGACTACAGCATATATCTAAATGAGTGCTATAACTTAATGAAACTACACATTCATTCAACAAGTTAATCCTTTTTGGACTCACTTTCAGAATTTCCTTCCTAGCCAATTTTATCACATTCACATGACAGCAGCACTACCGCCACCTATCATTATTGCTTTATAGTCACATTTTATTTTTGACTCAACCTCATTCACATCATACACTAAACTTAGTTCACTGAGAACATCCAAAAAAACGTGCTACAAGTCTGATGGTAATCACAAAAGGAAGTGGGTTAAATGTTTTGAACAATCACCGCATCAGCTGAGCAAGTATAAAGTTTCCTACACATGCAACTTTGAGGGGGAAAGATTCACAATTTCTTATATGTTATTTTTTTTAAGTACATGATATCTTTTGTATTTCATAGGCAAGGTATATATTTTGTTTAATGAAAGAGGATAGCAAGTGCATTCTAGAGGTGTCTAGTGAAATATGTGGGTCATATACACATACTGAAATGGTATCCCACTAAAGAAAGTTGGTTACATCCAGCATCCTACAATACTTGCAACCACTGCTCCAGGAACCATATAATCAAGTTTAACTTCAGGGAAAGCGTTATTTCTTCTATCACAGCCATGTCAGAGTTCCGTCTCTTTTTCTGAAATATGATTCCCTAAAGAAGTGGTGTTAAGTTTAAATCCTGATAAGAAGGAAACTCTCAAGACAAGATCCCTTGCCTGTGCTAATAAGGGGCTTTCTCCATTTCTGACCATCCCTATGCCCCAATGCCCACTCTGCTTGGACAGGACTTATACGTGTCCTGGCCACAATACTCTTCCTGCTCCCTAGGAAACCGAGGTGCTTATACAATCCTCTGCTCTTCCACACCACAGCACAAGGCTGCCATCTACAGAATCATTTAATCCATTTCAGCACTACCCAGGGAGAGTGAGAATCAGCTCAAAATAAATGCTGCCTTCTGCAGATTTGACAAAGGACCCTACTGTAATATATATGGCCTGGACATACAAGTTTAAGTCCTGTTTAGAAAATGCACTGATGACCACTAAAATAGGACACCAAGAGCAGGAACACATGCTTTAGTTCTGGCCACTTGAATAAACAACTCTGGTTACAAAAAACAGAACATTTTATTCAGAACAACTTTTCTTAACCATATTTCCTGCTTTATCACAGAGGTAGACAGACACAAAATGGCAAATACACTGGAAATAAAATGATCTTCCTAATTTTCCTTAGGACAGCCTGTTCTTGGTAGTAATTGGCCAACTATTAAAATTATAAAGTACTCAAAGCTGTTTAACTTAGAATCTCCTAAGTTAGTTTCTCCTTTCTTATTCCACCGTTAACGTGGAATGATCATTTGTCCCTTGAACAAACAGCTAATATGCTGTTGATTACAGCTCACTCCAGTGATCCTCCTTTGCTACCACTTGTGTAAGTGAGAGGTACCCACCATCCATTGGTCATGAGACAAAGCGAAGGATAAATAGCCTTTATTGGGACCACTCATTTCAACCATCACTGATTGGTCATCTCTTGTGAAGGACAAGAAGACACAGGCAGCCTCCTTCTCTGGGTCACAGTTCAAAGGACTCCTAATGCAGAACTTCTTGTTCCCACAATCTGAGGCACTGAACTAGAAAAATGAGAGAGGAAAAAAAAATCTTAATTATTAAAGAAGCAGTTCATTGGCAATGACAGAAGAATAACTACCGTCAAGTATGGGTAGTTTCCAGATTAATGAGAATACCTTTCCATAATAAGCATTCAAATAAGGAAACAAAAGACACATCTCAAATTAAAAATGATCAGAGCAGTAGTTAGGTTATGAACTTTTAAACTTAATTAATTTTAATTAAAATTTGGAAAACATACACTTGTTAGACTGTAATTATGCAAGAGTATTCAAGCTCCTGTAATACAGAAAACATTTCACATTAAGTATGTTTTGGAGCAAAGTTTCTGATAAGTTTTGAGAAATTTTTGAGGGAAAACTTCAGTCCCTGAGACTTAAATGACACTGACATTCCTGCCTAAAGAGTATCCTCTAGTTCTCAGAGACGAAGTTTTAACAAGCAAACAAAAAAATTCTTAGCAAGTTATTATTTTAGATTGTGGATTCTGCTTCTAGAATTCAGATTCAAATCTGATACTAAAATGATATAAGAAACAAATGGTCACCCCAATTTACCAGCAATCCAAATAACTGTAGTGATTTAGTTGGGGGAGAAATATGCAACAATGGGATGGCTTCATCCAGAGCTTCTTGATAAAGAATATAAGGTGAAGAGTCTTAGAAAAAAAAATCAGCTCTAAAATTTGATAAAGGAACAGACTTTGTTCGAATGATCTGTGACAATAAATTTCTGAAGAGCACTAAACATTATGTAACTAGAGTTGATGGAAATATAAAAGACGGATCATACTAGGGTGAGGAGAACAAGCCAGTGGGAACCAAGGAACTTGGACTTTGGTCTCTTCTCTCCCCTTCTCTACATCATGTTTGCCAAAGGACTTGTTCTCTCTGGATTCCTTCACCTTCAACTACGTACCAGGAAAACTGTAAGAAATAGACCCTGATGTATCTTCGAGCGCTAAAAATGCTGTAATCCTTTGACTCTGAATGAACTTCCCTATAATTAAAGATTATAAACATGGCACAAAGACACAATAAAAGCTCCAACAAGAGCCTTGTATTGAATATATGGAAAGACAACAATACTGTCAGCAGATTCCTAGTGGGAAGCTCAGGTCCAAACTAACTGTTTACCTCCCTAAAGCAGCTTTTGATTAAATAAGCATTAAGCCTAAACTGGGCAGTACAAATCACAGATGTAACTGTATGGTCAGACAAAAGTGCAACGATCATAATAATGTAACCAAATATAGTGCCCATATGCTATAAAATGTTGAAGAGAAGGAAAACAAAATAAGGAGCAAAGCACATTACTTTGCTTCTCTATGTGAACAAAGAGGTACAAAAGGGCAACAAGAAGGAAAAAGAAAAGGAACTAATGTTTAGGAAGCATTTATTAAATGCAAGGCACAGTTAGAAAACTTACATTCATCATTTTGTTTAATTCTTACAGTGATACTAAGAGCTAAATATTATGACATCTCATTCTATAGGCAAGGAAACCAAGAATGAAAATTAGGCAAGTCAGTATTTAGGCCCACATTTATTCTTTCAACTGAAACAACCTGCCTCAACACGTTTTTTTATTGTATCCACTTCTGAATTAAGAAGTCTCATTTCTCAGAATTTCCTGCAGTAAAACCCTCCTTCCTAATGTTTCTAATATGCGTAACACTTTCCAAGGTATGTCTTGTCAGCGATAAATCTTTTGAATCAGAGGGCCTAGATAAAATTCTAACTGACGAATTTACAAGAGATTTTCTGTTGTTCAGCACCTAGAGTTTCCTAGTACCCTTTGACCTGAATGAAATGAGATCTAAGAGTTTTATCACTACTTCAACAATCTCCTCCAAATCTTGCCTAAATTTAACTTAAGCTCTTCATTTGATATCTGGCTGTGTTTTAAAGAAAGAAAAAAAAAACTATTACTTCATTGGATTTATTTTCAAATGAAAACATATCCCCTACCAGTAGAGACTACATGTGAACATCATAACCACACCTTGAACATGCAGGGTCTTGCATTCCCTTCCTTCTAACCTATAAGTCGTAATGTTGCAATGAAGACTTCCTTCAGATTTCTACAGAGGGCCCCAAAACTTGCTACCACTACCCAGCACAGCTACTTCTCTATGCACTTTGCCACACAAAGTACACAGAACCACAATTTCCAATCACAAATTTACCCCTTTGCTCATATAGAGAAAACTAAGTACAGCACTTTACTCCTATGTAATGTCTTCCTTTGTTTACCTTCTCTTCTGTATTTTATAATATAAGGGCATTATACTTGGCTATATATTATTTTACATTGCATTTAATGAAGCTATAAAGATGTTACTTAAGCTGGGCACAGTGGCTAACACCTGTAATCCCAGCACTTTGTGACGCCAAGGCAAGAGGATCGCTTGAGCTCAGCAGTTCAAGACCAGCCTGGGAAACATAGTGAAATCCCATCTCTATAGAGAAAATAAAATTGTTACTTACTGGTTTGGTTAAGTGGGAAACTGGACCTAACGTTGGCAAAGGTCCTATTGTAGCTTTAGGTGTCGTAAAAGGAAATGCATTTGGTTGTGAAATTATAGGACCAGGAATCTTCACCCAGTAGATTTTGTACTTTGCAACAACTGTGGCTCTGAAATGCAACACCAGTGAGATTAGAACCCTAATTGTGGCCTATTGTAATCAGATGAAAACGTCAAAGGAAAAAGAGAGAGAATAAACTAGAAACACATGACTTAGTACCTAACAGCACTATTAATTTTGCCTGAGGCAAATTTCCAACCACCCTTCCACCCCATCACTTGATGAACTTTTATCGCTTTCTCTCCCTCTGTCGCTCTTTTCTTGTCTGTTTTGGGGGCATATTCACAACAGCCATGATGTCAGGCCCAGGGACAAAATTGCACAGATTTCTACTTCCTGGCATATGAAGAACATACTACTGGTCATTTCAGAGCACACTATTCAAATTCTTCCAAAGGGCCTCCGTAGCAGGCAACCATAATAGAGGCTGCATAATAGAGCAAGCAGCTATAATAGAGGCTGCATAAGTAACTATCGGCTTTCGCTGGGGTCACACCCCTTTTTCACATTCCACCTAACATACCGGTGCAGAGTTGTGTTACTGTGTGTTGGGGACCTATGCACAAAGTGAAGAAAACAGACATGTCAGGAGAGCAATCCTTCCCTTAAAATATATGTCTACTTCACTACTCGGGAATCATCACATGGCAGTATAACATTCCGTTTCCTTTGTATGTAGGATAAGGAAGAAGTACTGTTTTAATTCCACTGAGTTTCATAATTATAAGAGCCATGCAGTCTCTTTTGAGTCTAATCTGCAAGTTGTAACACTGAAAAAACCATCCAAATTTCAGGACTTTCATTTGTATTCTCATGCTAATTACAGGAGCAAGTCTAAAAGTAGTATTCTACAACATAAGACTCAAGTATTAATTGATAGTTCTTATTAGTATTAAGGCAGTGCAAGACTTTATTCACTCAACAAATGTCTACTAAGTGCCTATGAGGTGCCGAGTTCTGTGCCAGGTACTAGGTATACACTGGTAAAACACAAAACAAATTCCTATATCAGGAAGGTGGTGTTATTATTATACCAAAGCTCTTCTACATGCGTGAAGGTCTAATAGGTACATAAAATGATACAGACTAATTATAATTTCAGTTATACTAGTAGTTACAGAGTTGCAAACTTTTTTTTTTTTTTTTTTTTTTTTTGAGAGATAGGGTTTTACCATGTTGCCCAGGCAGTCTCAAAATCCTGGGCTCAAGTGATCCACTCGCCTTGGCCTCTCAAATTGCTGGGATTACAGGCATAAGCTACCATGCCTGGCCCAGAATTATGAACTCTTATACTCACAGAAACTGTGTGTGATTTGGGGCATTGCTTGGAGCATTCCAGTAGACCTTAATTTCGGTTTTTTTAGATTTACTTGTGTGACTCACAGCTGATCCCTGAAATAAAAGGGAAAAGAACCCAGTCACTCAATAACTCAGCATGACTAGAACTTCTATCATTTTGCAAAATAATTTATCATTGCATGACATTAGCATTCTGGTGAAGAATTTATTTTATTTAGAAAGACTCAGGTACTCAATAAATGAAATGTTGATTAGTTGACATATTAGCAGCTGGCTCTGTGAATAAATGAGAGTCAACAGAAATCAAAAGAACTGAAGAGAGGTGTGAACACTGGGTACATTAATACTAGATAGAGACTGCTCATTGTTTCATGTATATTATACATGTACATTGTAATGTATATATAATGTAAATGTATGATTATACATGTACATGTATAGTATAAATTTATATCTCTTCCATTGATAGATACAAATAGAATGCAGAATAGAATGCAGAAGATTCACACAGTAACATGACATTTCAGTACCTCCTTTCTCTCTAACACTCTTCTTTCCCACTTTCATGCTCCTGGCCAACTCCTACTCAATCTGAGACCTCACTTGAAGATCACCTCCTCCGAGAGGCTCTCTCCCAATTCCTTCCAGCCTGTGTGTGGCTCCCTCTGCGATGCTTCCTACTCACTGTGTATGCTTCTAACCAAAGTTATCACACTGTTCTACTTATGTATTCCTAAGATGTGCTTTTATGTAAAGTAAGGAGTTTTTCAAGGAACAAGAGTCACTCTTGTCCATCACCTATCCCTCCCATTCAGGACTATTTTGGTATAATAAATAAATGAAAAAAATTAGACTCCTATCATACTCTAAATCTCTGTCTTCAATATTAAAACCCTTCAAAAATTAATATAGTAAGAGTCAATATTAACATAAAATATCACAAGCTATAAATTCTTCAAACTACTTTACCTTTTATAGGGTGCTGATGTATAAAAATTGCAAGTAGTAAAATTAAGGAAAAAGTCTGATCATTCTGAATCAATTTAGATGTTTACAATACATGGTTAATGTCATCATTTATCTTGCAACCACTACCTTATAGTGAAAAGACCACAAAAAAAACTGACAGAGAAAAATTTCAAGCTACAGTTGACCCTTGAACAGCACAGGTTTGAACTGCATAGGTCCACTTATATGCAGATTTATTTTCAAAAATATAATTTAAAAAGTTTGGAAATTTTCAACAATTTGAAAAAACACAGACAAACTTCATAGGCTAGAAATATTGAAAAAATTAAAAAGTTAGGTATGTCTTAAATGCACAAAATATATAGGTATTAGTCTATTTTATCATTTACTACCATAAAATATACACAAACCTATTATGCAAAGTTAAAATTTATCAAAACATACATACACAAACACACTGTACATGGTGCCATTCATAGTCCAGAGACATATAAACAAATGTAAAAATGCAGTATTCAATCATAACTGCATAAAATTAACTGTAGTGGGGACTACAAGCACATGCCACCACATCCAGCTAATTTTTGTATTTTTTTGTAGAGGCTGGATTTTGCCATGCTTCCCAGGCTGGTCTCAAATTCCTGAGCTCAAGCAATCCACCAGCCTCAGCCTCCCAAAATGCTGGGAAAAGAGGTACAAGCCACTGCATTCAGGTTTTATTGTGTTTTGTCCACTACTGTAAACGTTAACTAACACCATGGGATCCATACAAAGTGCTGCTAGTGATGCTGGAAGTGTTCCCAAGAAGCAGAGAAAACTCATGATGTTATAAGAAAAAGATGAATTGCTTGATATGTATTGTAGATTACGGCCTGCTGCTGCAGTTGCCCACCATTTCAAGGTAAATGAATACAGTGCAAGAACCACTGTAACAAAAGGAAAATTCATGAAGATGTCACTGCAGCTATGCAAACAGATGCAAAAACCTTGCACTTTCTGTGAAAGATCTTTTCATCTCGTTTGGAAATGCATCTTTTATGTAGGTGTAAGAATTGCTATGAGAAAGGCATACTTAAAGACTAATATCATACAAGAAAAAGCAAAGTCATTACATGACAACTTAAAGAAAAAGGAAGGTGAAGGGTCTAAAGCTGGAGAACTTTATGCCAGAAAAAGATAGCTTGATAATTTTAGAAAAAAGTTTGGCTTTTAAAATGTCAGGATAACAAGAGAAGCAGCTTCTACTGACCAAGAGGCAACAGGCAAGTTCCCAAGCACCATTAAGAAAATCATTGAGGAGAAAGTATATCTGCCTGAACAGGTTAATGCAGAAAAAAGTGCCCAATTTTGGAAACAGATACCACAAAGGGCAATTATTAGTAAAGAAGAGAAGCAAGTACCAGGATTTAAGGCAAGAAGGAACAGGCTATCTCTACTGTTTTGCGCAAATGCAGTCAGTTTATGATCAGGGCTGCCCTTACCTATAAAGCCACTAAACCCCACACCTTGAAGGGAAAGATAAACATCAGCTGCCAGTCTTTTGGTTGTAACAGCAAGAAGGCCTGGATAATGAGAAACCTTTGTCGGGACTGGCTTCATGGATGCTCTGCCTCTGAAGCCAAGAAGCACCTTGGCAGTAAAAGATTTTAAAAGTTATTTTAGCAGGGCATAGTGGGTCATACCTGTAATCTCAGCATTTTGGGAGGCTGAGGCAGGTGGATCACTTGAATCCAGGAGGCAAAGGTTACAGTGAGCCAAAATTGCACTTCTGCACATCCAGTGAGCCTGGATGACAGGGCAAGACTCTGTCTCAAATAAATAAATAAATGTGCTATTGATATTTGATATAGTTTGGATATTTGTCTCCACCCAACTCTCATGTTAAATTGCAATCCCCAGTGTTGAAGGTGGGAACTGGTGGGAGGTGTTTGGGTCAGAAGAGCAGAATTCTCATGGCTTGGTGCTATTCCTCGAGACGGTGAGCGAGTTCTTGTAAGATATGGTTGTTGTAAAATGTGGCACCTCCCCTCCCCCAACCTTCTCTCTTTCTCTTGCTTTCACCATGTGAAGGGCCTGCTCCCGCTTTAGCTTTTGCTATGAGTAAAAGGCCATGAAGCCTTCCTAAGGCCTCCCCAGAAGCTGAGCAGATGCCAGTGCCATGCTTGTACAGCATGCAGAACAGTGAGCCAATTAAACCTCTTTCCTTATTAAACTACCTAGTCTTAGGCACCTCTTTAGAGCAATACAATAAGAGCCTAATACAATATTAGACAATGCCCCTGCTACCAAGAACCCCATGAGCTCAACACCAAAGCCACTGAAGTCACATCCTTGCCTCCATATACAGTGTCTCTAACTCAGTCTCTAGCTCAGGAGGTCTTAAGAACATTTAAGGCTCTTTACACACAGTACTCGATGGAAAGGATTGTCAACACTATGGAAGAGAACTCTGATAGAACACCATGAAAGTCTGGAAGGATTACACCATTGAAGACCCTATTGTTATTAAAAAAAAAAAAAAAAGCCTAGAGAGCCATCAATCCCAAAACAATAAATTCCTCCTAGAGAAACACTGTATCTAGATGTTGTGCATGACTTTAAAAGATTTACAGAGCCAATCAAGGAATCATAAAAGACACTGTGGATATGGCAAAAATGGTAGGGGATGAAGGGTTTCAAGATATGAATCTTTGAGAAATTCAAGAGCTAATAGACACCATTAACAGGAGACAACTTGATGATGAGTTTTCCAAACCAGTGCCAGGTGACAATGAGGACTACGTAGAAGAAGCAGTCTCAGAAAACAAACTGACATTAGACAACCTAGCAAATGGGCTCCAATTCTTCAGCACTGCTTTTGCCTTCTTCTGCGACATGGACCTCCTATGACATAGCACTGAAACTAAAGCAAAGTGGGGAAGGATTGCTACCATATAGAAACATTTTTAAGAAAGTGAAAAAACAAAAAAGTCAGATAGAAATTACAATGTATTTCCATGAAGTTACACCTACAAGACAGCAAGACCAACCCCTCCTCTTCCTTCTCCTCCCTAGCCTATTCAATGTGAAGACGAGAATAAAGACCTTTATGATGATCCACTTTCATTTAATGAATAGTAAATATATGTTTTCTTTTCTTTTCTTTTTTTTCTTTTTTTTGAGACGGAGTTTCGCTCTCGTTCCCCAGGCTGGGGTGCAATGGCATGATCTCAGCTCACCGCAACCTCCGCCTTCTGGGTTCAAGCAATTCTCCTGCCTCAGCCTCCCGAGTAGCTAGGACTACAGGCACACACCACCATGCCCAGCTAATTTTTGTATTTTTAGTAGAGACAGGGTTTCACCTTGTTGACCAGGATGGTCTCGATCTCTTGACCTCGTGATCCACCCGCCTTGGCCTCCCAAAGTGCTGGGATTATAGGCGTGAGCCACTGCGTCCGGCCGATTTTTTCTTATTTTCTTAGTAAGATTTTTCTCTTGCCTAGCTTAGTTTATTGTAAGAATATAGTATATAATATATAAATACAAAATATATATTAATCGACTATTTGTTATCAGTAAGGCTTCTGGTCAAAAACAGGCTATTTGTAGTTAAGTTCTGGGGGAGTCAAAAGTTATACATAGATTTCCAACTTCCCCAGGAGTGAGGCTGGCACCTGTAAACTCTATATGGTTCAAAGATCAACTCTAAACACAAACCTGTATATCTTCACAGGTCAAAAGCTGTGACACTTCACTGTCAATCAATGTGAAGGAGCCAACAGGAGGGCCATTCAAATCCTCAGCATTACGTGCTTCTAGGAGAAAGCCTTTAAATGGTTGCCCTGACAAAGTAACTGAGAAAAACAAAAGGATTGGTTAAAAAGCTTAGTAATGTAAAAAAAAAGAAAAAGTTTAGAGGTCATAAATTAGTTAGAATGATGTGTACATATATATGCAAAACTACTCCCAGAGAGAAAAGAGTCATCCTATAGGCAAAGAAGTTCTAAACTGTGTTCCATAAGATATTCACTCTGTGAGATATTAACAGCCATTTCACAAAGAGAAAAGAAAAATAGGCGATGGTCAAGGGGTGGTCCATAAGGCTAAGTCAGTTTGGAAAATGCTAGATGATGCCTATTGGGTACTAGGCTTATCACCTGAGTGATGAAATAATCTGTACACCAAACCCTCGTGACACATGGAATTTACCCATAAACAAACCTGTACATGTATCCCTGAACCTAAAAGTTTTTTTAAAATGTTTACTTGACCTCATTGGAGGAAAAAAACACGAGGTGCTTTCTTTTGAATTCCAGTATTTAACACAGTGTCTGGCTCATATTGACACTCAATAAATTCTTATTGAATTGAAAAAAAAAAAAATCACTAGATGAAAGTAAATACTTGTTTCTTTACTGCAAATCTCTTAGGGTATTTAATATCCTACTGTACAGTATGAACTCTAATGTATATTATGTACCACACAGAATATTCCAAACTTATTTTTCCATATACTCTTTATGTAACAGAGTACCTATTAACATTTTGCATTTCTAGAGTTGCAAAAAAATAAAGTTTGCAAAATGCTGTTATATATTTTTCTTTAATAAGCAGCCCATATTTTACCAGAGAAATTAGAGAATTATTCTTAAAATTATATGATGTCAGAAAGGACAAGAGTTTATTACATTTTAAACAAGATAAAATAAACTTTATTTTCTCTTCTCTTGAAATGATAGCACAATTAATAAAAAAAAAAAGTAGATAATGACAAAAACTTATTTAAAAGCCTGTTCTGGATGGGTAATCCACATACTACTTAAGTAATATAATCACCTGTAACCAAAAATAAGAAGTATGATAGTATCTTAAAAAAGAAAAAATATTTAAATGAAATAGTCTAAATCAAATAATAATAAAGAGGCAATGAACAATAAAAGAGTGAAGTCCAAAATGCAAACAGTTAATCCCAGCACAGTACCTTCAATCTGATCCCCCGGCCTGAATGTCATCTGACTCACTGAAATGTCATGAACAGGAACAGCCTGTGGACTATGACCGTGTTCAGGAATCATTCCATGGCATGACTGTGTTACTTTTCCATTGGGATAATTAGCCACATAACTAATGTGCAACAGAAGTGTGCAGGTTCCAAGAGTAAATCCAGAAACTGCCATCTCAAAAGGAAGATCAAAGCACATTATTGTCATATAAAATTAAAGTAAAATATAAAAGCTTTTACATACAAGACTATAATTCTAGATAACTACTTGCTTTCTGTGTTCAGCAAACCATATTCTCAACATACCTGATAAAAAGAATGTGATACGTGAAGTTTCACCTGGATTTCAATCTCGGCTCTACAAATTACGGTAAGACTGGGCAAATCATCTAATCCTCCACTTCCTTACCTGAAAAATAAGGAAGCAAAGACCCTCTTTTCAATGTTGTTTTGTTGTTGCTGTTGTTGTTGTTGTTGTTACAGAGATTTCGCTCTGTTGCCCAAGCTGGAGTGCACTGGCGTGATCTCAGCTCTCTGCAACCTCTGCCTCCCAGGTTCAAGCGATTCTCCTGCCTCAGCCTCCCCAGTAGCTGGGAATGCAGACATGCACTGCCACACCCAGCTAATTTTTGTGTTTTAGTAGAGATGGAGTTTCACCATGTTGGCCAGGCTGGTCTCGAACTCCTAACCTTAAGTGATCTGCCCACCTTTGCCTCCCAGAGTTTTGGGATTACATGAGCCACTGTGCCCGGCCTAGTGTTTTTTAAATAAAAATAAATATAGCTCAAAATCTGACAAGGAAGATAATAAATAATAGCTTTCATTATTATCAATTGGAAATAATAAACTAGTCAATAAAAGCAAAAGGTTTTACTTCACATCATCCTAGAAAGCTCAAAGAACAACTAAGAAATGTTTCTTCTGGATTTAAATATCATCACCTGAATAAATCTAAGATAAGACCTTTCCCAACTTCCTATTAAACTGATTATGATGACTGGACAATTTAATTTGCAATACTGAAAACTGAGGATAACAGAAAACCAATTAGAAGAGATAATATTTCTACTACCTGTAGCACAGATACTTCTAAATTAAGAAAACACAATTGTCAGCCCATACAATCTTCTTCCCTCCCCGGCTCTAATCTTTCTCTTACCATCTGGATAATAGAAAACCAGCTACTTTGCCTCAGTCCCACCCTCTTGGAGCCCAGATCATCCATTTTGTTTGATGCATATATTCAAAACCTGCAAAACACAGGACTCAACAAGGCTGAAGGTAGATGAGCAGTGACATGTTACGTGGCAGTAAATAATGTTAACACCATGGACAGGTTGCAGATGGGAAAAGGCCAAGAGGCAGTTTATTGTTTATGGAAAAGGATTTTTTATTTATAGAAAAATAAATAATTATTTATTATTTATTTCTATATCATGTATCTGGTCATAGACAAAAATAATAGCAGCCTTAGAATCACTATAAAAAATATTGTTTTTTAGTTATGTAAATCAGGAGCAACTATGTAACCGCAGCCTAACCTGCTGGAGTTTTATCAGAGCCTACATGACCTGGAAGAGGGGAAATACCCAGCTGTGGCCCATATTAGCCATCCTGTTTCACCTAAGTCAGAGAAGAACTTTGAAGCAGTTGTGAAGTCCACACTCCAGGGACATAAGCTCAGTCCTCCGCCCACTCACTCCTCACCACCACATTATTAAAGGCCTATTTATAGCAGTTCCTTTTACTTTGTGCATCATGTCCAGTTATTAAGATCAATTTACAGGGCATACTGAAAGGCAGAAAACACAATCTGAAGAAACACAGCAAGCCTCAGAACCAGACTCAGATATGATGGAGATGTTGGAATTATCAGACCAGGAATTTAAAGCAATTATGATTAAGATGTGAAATGCTCTAATGTAAAGTAGACAGCATGCAAGAACAGATACACAGAGAGGGAAATTCTCAGAACCAAAAAGAAATGCTGGAGATCAAAAACACTTTAAAAGAAGGGATGTATGGGCTTATGGGTAGACTGGACATATCTGAGATAAGAAACTCTTAGCTTAAAGATATCTCAATAGAAAAATACCAAACTGAAAAAAGAAAAAAATGACTGAAACAACAACAACAACAGAATATCCAAGAACTGTGGAACTACACAAGATACAACATACATGGGACAGGAATTCCAGCAGGAGAAGAGAGAAAGGAACAGAAGAATTATTTGAAATAATAATGACTGAGAATTTCACCCAAATTATTTATTATCAGACACAAAATACCAAGTGAGATAAATACCAAAAAAAAAAAAACCTAAATCTAGGTATACATGATGGTTAATTTATATGTCAACTTGACTGGGCTGAGGGATGTTCTGATAGCTGATAGAATATTATTTCTGGAGTGTCTATGAATGTATTTCTGACAGAGATTCGCATCTCAACCAGCAGACTGAGTAACAAAGATCGCTTCACCAGAGTGGGTAGGTATCATCTAATCCTTTGAGGGCCTAAATAGAATAAAAAAGCAGAGGAAGAGGGAATTACTCCCTCTTCTTGGTCTAAGACATCTGTCTTCTCTTGCCCTCAGACATCAAAGCCCCTAGTTCTGGGGCCTGAAAACCACAGGACTGAACGCCAGCAATCCTTTCCCCAACCCAAGGCCCTCATACCTGACAAGGAGTTGCACTATGGGCTCCCCTGGTTCTTAGGTCTTTGGGCTTAGACTGAAGTGTACCAGCAGCTTTCCGGCTTCTCTAACTTATAAACAGCAGATTTTGAGACTTGCGGCTTTCAGAATCACGAGTCAGTTTCCATATTAAATATCTATAACATACATAAATAAAATCTTAATCTGTAACTTTGGAAAACCCTGATTAATATAGCATATCATTTTCACAATACAGAAATCTAACATTTTTTTTAAATCCTGAAAGAAGCTAGAGGAGAATGATATGAACAAAGACGAGAACTATATCTGACTTTTCCTCAGAAACCACACAAGCAAGAAGAGAGTAGAGCAAAATATTTAGTGTTGAGAGAAAAAAGTGACACCATAGAATTCTATACCTCAAAAAATTATCTCTCAAAAGTGGAGAAGAAATATAAAGACTTTCTTAGAGAGGCCAGCCACAGTGGCTCACGCCTGTGATCCCAGCACTTTGGGAGGCCAGGGTGGGTGGATCACGAGATCAGGAGTTCGAGACCAGCCTGGCCAACATGGTGAAACCCTGTCTCTACTAAAAATACAAAAATTAGCTGGGCGCTATTGCACATGCCTATAATCCCAGCTACTCGGGAGGCTGAGCCAGGAGAATCACTTGAACCTGGGAGGCAGAGGTTGCAGTGAGCCAAGATCACACCATTGCACTCCAGCCTGGGCAACAGAGTGAGGCTCCGTCTCAATAAAAAAAAAAAAAAAAAAAGGCTTTCTCAGACAAACAAATATTATGGCAATGTGTTGCCAGTAAGACCTATTTTGCAAGGGAAGTGAAAAGAAATTCTTAGGAGAAAAGGAAAACGATAAAGGTCAGAAATTCAGATCTACATAAAGAAAGAAGAGCACTGGAGAAGGAATAAGTGAAGGTAAAGTAAAAACGTTCTTCTTACACTGAATCTAACATGAAAGCTCATTCAAAATAATAATACATATAATTATGTATGGATATACATATGCTTATGTGTGCTTACTTTTGTATGCTTCTATATCGGCGAAGTAAATGATGAAATATAAGGGATGGTGAAACAGCAGAGACCTCTCTCTTAGGGGCCTACCTCTCCCAGTCTTCACAGAATTAATGAAAGGTAGAATCTTTCTCTGGATTAGATTTTGGCTCAAGGAAATGTTGTAGCTGGTTTGATCTTCTATCCAAACCACTAAAACTTTCTCCATCCATATCAACAATAAGGCTGTTTTGCCTTATTATTCATACATCCCCTGGAGTTACCATTTTCTTCAAGTACTTTTTTTTTTGCATTTACAACTTGGCTGACTGGAACAAGAGGCCTGACCTTCAGCCTGTCTTGGCTTTCGGCAGGCCTTCCTCACTAAGCTTAATCATTTCCAGCCTTTGATTGAAAGTGAAAGATACATGACTCTTCCTTTCACTCGAACACTTACAGGCCACTATAGGGTTCTTAATTCGCCCAATTGCAATATTGTTGTGCCTCAGGGAACAGGGAGGCCTGAGGAGAAGGAGAGATTCGAGAATAGTCTGTTGGTAAAACAGAACACACACAGTTATCAGTTAAGTTTGCCATCTTATACGGGTGCAGTTTGTGTCTCTCCAAAACAACAGAAACATCAAAGATCACTGATCACAGATCACCATAACAGATATAATGGAAATGTTCAGAAACTTGCCGAAGTGAGGCTAGGCACAGTGGCTCAAACCTGTAATCCCAGCATTTTGGGAGGCCGAGTCAGGAGGATAGCTTGAGCCCAGTAGTTCAAGACCAGCCTGGGCAATATAATGAGACTCCCATCTCTATTTTTTAATTAAAAATAAAAATAAATAATAAAATAGAAATTTACCGAAACGTGACATTGAGACACAAGGTGAGCATGTGCTGACAGACTTGCTCAATGAGGAGCTGCCACAAGCCTTCAATTTGTAGCCAGGCATGAGACAAGGGCACTGGTCTCCACACCGTGGGCTGAAGGCATCCTCACCCCTATTATCCCAACACTTTGAGAGGCTGGGGATGAAGGATTCCTTGAGTCGAGGAGTTGAAGACAAGCCTGGGCAAGAGAGACCTTCTGTCTACAAAAAATGAAAAAATAAGCTGGCTGTAGTGGTACTTGCCTGTGGCCCCAGGTACTGGAGGCTGAGGCAGGAGGATCCCTTGAGCCCAGGAATTCAAGGTGGCAGTGAGCTATGATCACACCACTGCACTCCAGCCTAGGTAATAAAGCAGGATCTCCATCTCAATTAAAAATAGAAAAAAAAAAAAAAAAAGGCTGGATGCAGTGGCTCATGCCTGTAATCCCAGCACTTTGGGAAGCCAGGGCAGAAAGACTGCTTGAGCCCAGGAGTTCCAAACCAGTCTGGCAAACATAACAAGACCCTTTTTTTTTTTTTAATAATTTGATAGATTTTTTACAATTTTATTTTTTTAAGAAAGATAAACCTTCCATTTGTAAAAAACACAATATCTGCAAAGCATAATAAAGCGAAGTACCATAAAATAAGCTGTGCTTGTGTATCACTCACCACTTTCAACGTCAGTTGTCTGAATGTAGCAATTAAGACAGATTGTCAAAGTGATCAGGAAACAGACTCTGTTAAGTTTTCTACAGGAAACCCACTTTAAATATAAAGACACATAGAGATTAAAAGTAAATGGATAGAGAAAGATACACTGTGTTAACACTAATGTAAAGATAGCAGGAGTAGCTACATTA